TTACCACCTGGCGGCCGTTCCCCGTCGCGTCTTGCTCGTCCTGGATCAATATACACAAGTGGTAACTCTCCCAATGCCAGAGTGTCGTCGCCTACTATGGGTAGGCCATCGACTCCAAGTTTCCAAGTAGCTATGGGACGAGGCGGAGGACTACGTCCTGCAAGCTCCCTTGGTCTTCGTCCCCCTGATAGCCGGCAAGATGATGATGAGAGCAGCGAGTGGACCACTATCGTGTCCAAGTTTCACTTTGTCGACCTGGCCGGCTCGGAGCGCGTATGTTATGCGTGCAATTCTTGAAATTTTGATAGGCTAACTTTCGTCACAGTTAAAACGTACTGCCGCTGCTGGAGAGCGAATTAGAGAGGGAATATCCATCAACAGTGGTCTCCTCGCTCTCGGCAACGTCATATCGGCGCTAGGTGATCCTTCACGTGCGAAGTCGCATACTAACTCTCACGTCCCCTATCGCGACTCCAAGCTCACCCGCCTCCTTCAAGACTCGCTTGGGGGCAATGCACACACACTCATGATCGCTTGCGTCAGTCCCACGGAGTGGAACGTCGGTGAAACTGTCAACACTTTAAAGTATGCCAACCGCGCCCGAAATATCAAGAATCGTGCGGTTGTCAACGAAAGGGAAGATGGTTGGGATGATATCGAATGGCTACAAGGAACGGTCACTCGTCTTCGCAAGGAGGTCAAACAACTCAAAGAAGGTGGCACCATCATCTCTACGAATTCCTCTTCAGCCGTTGGTGAGGTGACGGAGGGAAACTCCAAAAAGATCCTTGCACAAATGACAGACCTTCAGAATAATTATGAGAGTCTACGCGAGAAATACGTGGAACGGACGGAAGACCTTGCTCGCTTACGTCGCGAGATTGGCGAGCGTCACCGCACGTCATCTGGCGGAACTGTTGGCGGTACGGCTAAATACGAAGAGATCGTTGGACCTGTCATTGAGGAATACGAGAAGACCATCAGCGCCATGGAGGCCGAGTTAGGCCTCAATCGCGCTGCGCTCAGGCTCACCAATGACATGATGGAGGAAAAAGAAGAAGAGCTCGCCCAGGTCACCGAAAGACATTCTGCAACTGAATTATACGTTGAAGAGCTCCGTACGCGGCTGGCGAAGCTTACAGAACGGGAAGCATCAACTGAGGTTCGTAACGACTTTGTTGAAATAAAGGCACATTTCTAATTGAATTCATTCAACGCAGGCTTACGTCCGTGATTTAGAAGAGAAGATGAAATCTTTTGACGAAACATCTATGTCATCGAGCGAGTCACTGACTGACCTGAAGCGCGAGGTCTCCCGTTATAAAGAAGCCGAATCGCACTCAGCCTCATACATAGCTGACCTCGAAGCTCGCCTCGCCCGCTCTGACGAATCGGTGCTAACCTTGCAGCAGACGATCGAGCGACTCGAGAATGACTGTGAACGTCGAAGAGAGGAAGTAGATGCTCTGACGACACGCTTGGAGAACCTTAACCGGGACGGTGCTAGTTGGCGGACTGATCTCGAAGAGAGGGAGAGGAAGGTTAAGGAACTGGAGCAGAAGATGGAAGCCTGGGAGCGAAAGAGGAAGGAAGCCAACGAAGACCGCATCCGACTTGGTGACGTGGTTGGCGAGGTTGAGCTGGCGAAACGTAGTCTCGAGTCCTTGAACGGCGGGAGCACCAAAGTCAATTTTCCTACTACTTCCGGTGCCAGCACGCCAGCTTCTGTGGACCTTTCCGTCGAGAATCAACTGGTCGCCCTGCGGCAAACTCACGCTGCGACACTCACAGATCTCTCGTCTGTTTCCAAGAAGTACCAGGATGCACTTCAGGAGATTGCTGATCTTGCTGCTCAAATTCAGGAAGCTAAACTCAGCAATCCGACGATCCCGGAGACTTCGGCCGTTGATAAAGCGGACACCCCGTTATTCCGTCGGCGAATGACATCTTCCAAGAGTCGAGAGGGTCTTACTGAGCCTCTATATGATACAGCTGGTCGACGTCTTTTTTTCAGGCAAGCAGCCTCTGTAGATTCTCTTCACGGAAGGTGTGTTTCGAATGACATCTGTCTTTCATCGAGTCTGATTTTTTTTTTGTAGAGCATTACATCAGTCGTTGCCGCAATCACTTTCGCTTTCACAGGAGCTCTCATCAGTCAGGTCTCGAGAGACTTCGATATCGAGTCACGGAAGCAGTGGTTCTGTCTCGTATTCTCCATCACATCGGCCGAACCTCTCCATATCTCTTTCCAGTGTTAGTGGTGCTACCACTCCCGCTGAACAGCGCTCTGCGGTGAGCATGGAGAAGGAGATCATGCGCTTGCAAGAGGTTCTTAGGGAGCGTGAAGCTGAAATTGGCGTTCTTGAGTCTTCGCTGAAGGACAAGGAACAGACAACGCCAACTCTGGTTGCATCGCAAGCTCTCCAATCCACAGAGGCCGACGATTTGACACACCTTTCCCCCAAGACGATTCAGAAGTTCGACGCCGTTCGAAAGAGTATGAAGCTACATCACGATCTCATCCCTGATGTTGATGTTGACGTACCTGATAACGATGTCGATGAATCGCTTGACAGGTTAAACGAACTTATGCTGTATGTTCATAGCACATGTCTTATTCTGTTTTCTGATTACTCGTCTATTGTCCAGGTCCATGGCACAGAAGGAGTCTCAGCACAAAGAACTCGTTGACTCTCTTCATGGTCAACTTGCTCTGGTGCAACGTGCGCACGATGAATTGACCAATCTTTCTAGGGATCAGGTAGGCAGACAACTGCTGACTACCATGCCTATCAGACACTGATTACATGCAGGCGCTGAACATGTCGACTGAACTTGAAGGTCTTCGTGCCAAACACCACGAGGATCTTTTGGATTTGGAGACAGTCAGGCAGCGTGAGGCGGAGCTTCTCGCATCCATCAAGATAGCTCAGGAGAGTCACGCCGGCGAGCTTGCGGAGCTAAGGTCTCAGCACGAAGATGCTCTTCGTGCGAAGGGAATTGAGATCGAGGAATTAATCTCTCGCCTGAAAGACGAGCATCAGACATCTCTTGGTACTTTACGAGATCAGCTGTCAGAGGCATCTGCAGCTCTGGAGAAGGCCCTCGAGGAGCATGAGAGTGCGTTCGGCAAGCTCCAGGCCGAACACGACGAGGTCCTCCAGCGACATTCTCAAGAGGCTAAGGAGATTCTCGAACGTACTATCGAGGAGCATCAGAACGCTATGGCCGAATCCAAGGCCGACCATGCAGAAGTCTTGAAGTCCAAAGACGAGCAAGTGGCTACCGACCTCCACCGCACCGAAGAGGAGTACTACAATGCGCTCACTAAACTTCGCAAGGACCACGCAGATGCTTTACAAAGGCAAGCTACGGAAGCTGCTGCGATGCTTGAACGCTTGCGTGAGGATCACGCTAGCGAGCTTCGCATGTCTGAGAAAGCTCGTGAATGCTCCTTGTCAGAGTCGGAGTCGTCTCGTGATTCAGTGCTCCGTGAACTTCAGGATGAGCATGCTGCTGCCATTGCCAGGAAGGAGGCTGCGTATGCGGAGGATGTAGAGAAACTCAAATCTGAGCATGTGCGCCTCCTTTCGAACAAAGAGGAGGACTACAGAGCAAGGCGTGAGCATCTGAAAACCGAGCATGCCACCGCTATGGCTGTCCTCAGGGAGGAGTCGGAAGTTCAAGTGGAGCAGCTCACGAAGGCCTTGGCGCGTCTGGAAGAAGAAACAGCTGCCACAGTTGTGAAGTTGCGCGAGGATCATGTATCCGCTACTCAGGTTCTGACGGAACAGCATACAACGTCACTGCTACAGATCACTCGTGACCACGAAGAAGAGACTGCTCGACTCAAGTTGTTACATGCCTCTGAACTCAACGACGCAGTTACAAAAGCTCAGAAAGAACATGCATCCCTCCTCACCTCCCACGCAGCGGCAATCACGAATCTCAAATCTGAACACCAGATGTTACTTGCCGAAGTTCAAGTGTCCCTCGTCGCTGCTCAAGAAAGGCATGCTTCCGACCTCCAAGAGTCTCGAACAGCAAGTGAGCATATGCTTGCTGAGGAACGTAAACGCCTTGCTGCCACCGTTACCGACCTTGAGCAGGAACACTCTGATGAGCGTGATGCTCTCCGCAAGGAACGAGATCTTCTCCGTCAAGAGCTGGAGTCCCATAAAGTCGCGATCTTGGATGTCCAGGAACAAAGTGAACGAGGAGTACTTGCAGAGAGACAGCGTTCACAGTCAGCCGTAACTGAGCTCGAGGAGAAGTACTCTGCTGAACGCACCACGATGCGCGAGGACTACAAAGCGCTTGTTCAGGAACTTGAGGCTCACAAAGCTGCCGCAAGCGACTTCGTGGCTGTACGTGCACAGTACGAATTGGCCGTATCCGAACAGACGACCACCGTGGCATCCTTGGAGAAAAGTTTTGCCGGTGCACAATCGGAGAAAGTAGACCTTCAGGCGCAGGTCACCAAACTGACGGCTGAACTGGAGAAGACACGGTCAGAACGGGCCACGTTTATCCAGGAAGCATCTAAGCGCGAATCATTGGTTGACGAGCTTGATAGACATCGCTCCCTTATCGCTGAGCTACAAGAGAACCTTCAGCGCGCTAAGGACGAGAAAGATAACTTGCAAGTGGAGAGGAATAAGCAGGAGACTGCTATGCGCGACATGCAGATGCAGATTGCACGCACATCGGTTCAAGAGACCTCGACACCGCGAGCAACACCTGATCGCAATATCCCTTTTACTCGTCTCAACGGTATGGGCTCCAAGCTTCCTCCCCCCACACCCCCGCCCTCCATGCCACCGCCACCAGCACCGAAAGCTCAGGAATCCCAGTTCAGTTTATCTACTCAATCTTCTACTATGTCTTCGAAAGACTCTACCGACTCTTCTGCTACGTCGGTTGCCTCTGTACTTGCACCAAGCGGCCCTCAAGTAGACTCTAAGGCCATCGCTGCCAAGCTCGAGGACCAAGCGAAGCATATCGATGAACAGGAGGTGATGATCAAGACACTCAACAAACAGCTATCTCACTGTGAGAGTGATTTGGCTACTCACATGGATCTCGTGAGCACACTAGAGACATCATTGAGCGACTCTGAGAAGAATCGTGCGTATCTGTCCCTGCTTACCATAGTGTTTGAGCTAACCATTTATATTTGTCTTGCAGTTCGCAAAGCGCGCATGCAAGCAACGGAGCTTGCGAGGGAACGAGACTCACTCAATTCCCAAATTGAGGGCCTTCGCAACGAGTTACAGGAAGCGCGCCGTGAGGTTGTTACTGTTCGGAAATCGATCGTGGAAGAGAAACAGTCCCTCGAATCGCGTCTTGACGAAGAACGACGTGCGAAGGAACGTGCTCGTGCGCAGCTCGACTCCCGGATGGAGGAGCTACAAAAACGGAAATCGAAGTTTGCCTGTCTATAGCGTGCCTATCAAGTCTGCATTCACATCTTTTCGGCCTGTGAGTTGTTGCGACTCGTGTCGGACCTTTATGCCTATTCTTTTTGCACCTTGCTTATTATACCAGTTTTCGCGAGCTGCGAGATCGGTTAGCGATTATGTCTCTTGTGTCCTGATACCCCTTGGTTGTGGAGCTAGTTTATCGCGTCTACTATGGGTATCCCTGGTATGTTTGTCCGTACTGGCTACTTCCCTTGTTATAATATGATATAGTTCGGATCTTTGCTAACTCGTGTTTCGGTTATGATCCGCTTGAACGGTGTCAACGTCACCGTGGCGATTATGTCGGCCGCTGTTCGCGAGTCATATACGCAACATGCCCTCGGACATTCCAGCATGGGAACCTAGTAGAAAATACTCCACGCTGTCTAGTATACGATGCCAGTCTTCGAATTCTGAAGTCTGATGAATGTACGAGAATCAATGTGTTTGAAGTCGATTTGAAGTTATGATTTTTGTTGTGAACGTTGACAATTGTTTGAGAAACAATCTTCCCCGCGGTTGTATTCCCCGCAAATTTGAGGTGGAGAAATGTCGTAAGTGACGTTGCTGTCGGACCGGCTTATTATGTAGTAGCATAAGGCTAAGGCGGCGACTTTAAATTCCATTTCACAAACTTTGCCTCCTCCCACCCTCCGTCTCCCACTATGTCCCTCAGCTTTTTTGCCCGTGCTGCCCCCGCTGTCCGACGGTCAACAGTCCTCGCCCGCACTGTTCAGTCCTCTGTGAGATTCCAGAGTAGCGCGCCAACGAAACAGAAACATGTTCCCCGTGTTCTTCCTGCGTTCTCTCTTGAGGGAAAGGTAGGCCTTTCTATTCGTCTTTTCGCTTGATTGAGTCGTCTAACTATTTTATAGGTCTGTCTAGTCACTGGTGCTGCCAGAGGTTTAGGTAATGAATTCTGTCGTGCATTCATACAATCGTTCGTCTTTTTGGACACCTTAATTTACCGTGATGAAGGACTGATCTATTTTGGATTGTAGTGGATGCACGGAATTGGCTATTGTTGATCTAAAGGAGAGCGAGGCGCAAGCTGCTGCTGCTGAACTAGTCTCAAATGCATGCCGTTCGTAGTCTGCTGTATTCTGACGACACTACTGAAGAGCATCAAGTTAACAGCGACATGACCCCGGAAGACTTTAACGTGATTGGCGTCGGATGCGACGTGTCATCAGAGTTATCTGTTCAGCGCGCATTTGAGCATGTCATGGACACGTACGGGCGATTGGATTCGGTGGTTGCATCTGCAGGTAGATTCCTCCGTTTGCCGCAGCATTCATCAGAAACGTGACTGATATAATGTGATGCCCAGGAATTGTGGAGAATTACTCTGCATTCGAGTAAGTCGTTCGATATGTGTTGGAGCGTTCCTTGGAGCTGACGACCGGATCATAGTTACCCATTCGACCGGATAAAGCGCTTGTATGACATCAACGTGCATGGGGCCTTCTTTACTGCGCGAGAAGCCGCTCGGAACATGATTCCTCAGGGAGGAGGCTCCATCGTCCTTGTTGCTAGTATGAGTGCATCGGTATGTTAATCTGTGGAGACGCTCTTCTTTGTGAAATGCCTCTGACGATGTGTCTGTGCAGATCATCAATATTCCGCAGGTGAGTGATTGATTCCGGGATAAACTCATCGAGGGGATCTAACCCTAATCGCTTCGGGGATAGCCGCAAACACCTTACAATGCTTCAAAAGCGGGTACGTCCGCATTCTACCTGGTGTCAATTGCAAGGTGACTGACACGATATCATTCTGATAGCGGTCCGTCACATGGCGTCGAGTTTGGGAGTGGAGTGGGCGAAGAAGGGTGTGCGAGTTAATACACTGAGGTTCGTGTTACGTTTCGCGTGTCCAACTGCGGGCTGATATGGGTCATGAAGTCCTGGATACATGTTGACAAAGCTTACCAAAACGATCCTCGCCCATGACCAAGATCTGAAGGTTGGTGGCTGTTGGTAGACTTGTTCGGTTTGAAAGCTAATGGTAGTACAGAAAACCTGGGAGAGCCTGACGCCTATGGGCAAGGTGAGATTAGCCTAGTTGATTTAGACGCCCTACTGACTGGGTGAACAATTAGATGGGTGAACCAGAGGACTTGGCTGGTGCCATTGTTTTCTTGGCAAGTGATGCATCTAAATTCATGACTGGAGCCGAAGTTCGCGTTGATGGGGGCTACTGCGTTATCTAAGCCACTCGTTCTTGTTCTTTTGTTATGCAAAATGTTGGGAGTAGAATCACATAGATTTTTTTACTAGATTAATTTCAGCTGTTTATAATACATGATTTTATGGTGTCCCGCTTCCGAACAAAGTATAGTACTAGGTTTCCCATGGTAAGGTCTGTGGAAGCACGATAAGAACTTACTCTCACTTGGTGGATTTTATTACGTCTGTATCCAATATTCAATTAAATTGTTTTAATGAGACAAATATTGTTATTGAATCAGGCCAAAGATAGCAGGAGATTAAAGTATCCTATTATGCTTAAGGCCAGGCGCTTTGGGGATAAATAACCCAAAGAGGGCTAACGGTTCAGTCCGATGGCGGCCAAACCTGAATGACATCATAGGTAGCTATTATAAATTACACTTCAATTCAAATCGCATATTATTGGGTTTTTCACCTACCTCGAACACGAGTCAAAATCATGTCCCTAAGTTCGCAACATGCGAATCTCACCCATAGGCCTTCCTCCCTGTCCAGATCTCAAGACACCCCACCCTCCTCATCTGCTAACATACCCACTTCCACTATATCATCTACTTTTGAATTCACCAAACGGAAACGCTGGGCAGATCTTCTGATACACGAATTGTCAGAGGCAATCATCCTTGTGCTCTCAAGCGAGTCCAAGGTTTTATTTTGCTCAAGGGCCGTCTCAGAATTACTGGGTTGGCGAGATACAGAGCTTATTGACAAGGATATCCTCGACTTTGTCAATGGTGAGCATGCTTACCGTCTTCCAGTCGTGTTACCCGCGTGTGCTCATTTGTCATTCATTTCTTCAGGCGAAGATAAGCATGCTTTCCGTGTGTCATTTGAACAATCACTACGCTTGCGCATGGAAATGTTATCTTATGTTCGATTCAAGTGTCAAAGCGAGTATGCTTCTCCTGCCAAGGAGGTCCTCTTTGAATTGAAGGGTTACCCTCACTACATCGATGACGAACAATACCCGCGGTGCTTTTTCGCGGTGGCAAAACCATACCCGAGTCGGAACACAGCAATGTAAGTGCATAAGCATGAATACATAAGTTAATTTTAGCGTGGTTCCTTGGCTGTCTGATGGAACTTTCTCGTACTCACTAGGTTAAACACATTCCTCGAACTCAAGATTGAAAATGAACGGTTACAACAGCGCCTCGCCGATCTCAGAGTCCGCATACCGTCATCTTCTATTGCTCAAACTGGTCAATCGATGGCTTCCATGTATTCTACACCTTCTGGTAGTTCTCGTGGGCCTGTATCAATGGTGACCCACCGCCCTGTGGGCGATTTACCCACCACGTGTTATGCAACCCATCAGACGAGCATGTCGTATGATGATTTGGTGACACAAACAAATCATCATCAACCACGGGGATTTACTGATTCTCCCAACGTGTACACATACGGTAGCTATGCTCATCACGATGATGCCGGTCAACAAGCGCAACAGCCAACAGAAGACAATTATGGCGACGATGCTGCCAGAAGGAAAAGAGTGTGTATCGCTATCGAACGGGAGCATTTGAACTTATCGATAACCCAGATCCGCAAGATGCACGCCGCAGAGCAGTACGTATGCGTTACTTGTGGGCGTACAGATTCCCCAGAATGGCGCAAGGTCTGTCGCTTGCATCTTTCATTTTCCGTTAGTTGATGTCTTCTCAGGGCCCACAAGGGCCAAAAACCCTTTGCAATGCCTGTGGTTTGCGATGGGCAAAACAAGTACGCACCAGACAGGATGAAGAACAGCCTAGCGCTGGACCTAGCACCTGAATTCTATTCGGCACGCCGCACCTGTCGGCATACCGCCTTTCACAGACATATTTTCCCCTCAGTTGATGTTGAGGGTTTGGCTGTTTGGTGGCGTGCGGCCATCTTGCAAATGATGCCTGCGAAAATAATCGCTGAGCTGTTGGACCACTTTAGGGTACCAGTTTTCTTGCATAGAACACTTATATACACGATACGTAATATGTATATTAGACGTTACCCTCGGGATAAGGCTGCGCCGGAAGCTGTGTCTGAACCTACTTGGCGCGCCGCGATCCGATAATATTGGAAGTCCGTGACGCGTGAATTGGGGCGGGGCGGGTCTAGACAACCAAAGTAATTTCATACCGTGCCGATGTCGGACATTGAATTTAACAGCAGGCAAGCTGGTGTCGTCTACTGACTCCAAGTATAACCAGGCCGCTCGTGGATGTCGTCTCGCAAGAATTCTTCAGCAGTACACAAGGTATGATTATGTATTACAGGTCGCGTGGTACACCGGGGCAAGGTTCTGCATGTGTCTCACAAGGACCTTACCAAGTCACTATAGACAAAGCTGCTCAGGAAAAAGCCGACAACGATTACAATGTTCGGCTCGCTAGCATCACACAAGCACGACGAGCTCGTCACTATGGCCGAGCAGACTGCACGAATCAAAGAACACTTTGCAGGAAATCCAGTTAGCCCAAGGTTCGCGGGAGTTCTTGAGAAGAAACGAACAGAAGACATGTAGGAAATGACCAGTCTGTATGGAGTTTGCGCAGACTTCGCGCCAAAGTATGGGAACATGTCTGGGTAACGCATGTCTGTGATCGGAATGTTCCGGGCGGTCTAAGGTCTGCATCACCGCAACCACCCTGCCCTGCCGTCTAAATCGGCCACCATCACGTATTCCGCTATCTATGTCAAGTGTTATGCCAATTAATCTCGACATCCTTGTCAGCTTGCCGTCATGGTTCTAGTCACCTGGAGGGAGGACATGACAACTGTAGACTGAGAGCTGCGGACAACGACATGGCGTTGGCAGGCGACTAGGAAACAGGCCAATACAGAGGAAGTAGTAGATGGACAGGCGAACGTGAGAGACTTGCAGGGATCAGAATAGATGGAGGTGATGATCCTGATGGCAGGCAGGCGGGGTGATAGTGACATCGTGCGGTGGCCTTGACGACTCCGGCGCTTTCTGAACGAACGAGTGCTGCCACAGCGTCGATGGCTTCAACTGCCACCAGAGTTTCCTGCAACCTCCAGTGCATCCCAGCCTGGTCAAGCGCTACCATCGCATTTCATACATCCGTCATCTCACTAGTTTCAGCACTCTCGAACCGCATACACCATTGGTTCTGGCTCAACCCTCACATCCGGTGAGTCATGGACTTCACAATCCATTTATGTATCAATACCCACTGGTACATCCACAATTCACATACATTCCCTCAGCAATTTTTACACAGCGTTAATGATTTGCGATTAGTTCTCTATAACTCTACGTACCATACTTGTAGCTCACAGATTTACCAGTAACATCTCAATCAATTACTGTTGAGGTACACACCATTCGCGAATCTACTGCCGAGCAGACTGACCAGTGTGACCGTTTGTGACATGGGTGTAACCCACGAAATAGTCCACTGTAGCAATCGTTTGTAGTGTATACGGACTCCGACTCCATCTGCAGAGTAGACTGCTCGTCCTCTGCGCCAAACGCTGATAAATTAGTTACGACACCATGTCTACGCCAGAAGTATATTCAATCGCCAAAACTCCAGTGACGTGCCACGCATTCAACGCGGACCGCAGCCGTACGTCCTACCTCAATGTATCCTTTGAATACTAAGTAGCAAACGTTTCCTTCGTCACAGAGGTTGCTGTGAGCTTGAATGACAACAACGTCCAGATCTATGCCAAGCAGGGAAAGGAGTGGATTCTATCTGAGACACTCTCCGAGGTGTGTTACGATCGATGCTCCATCAACATGTACTGACTCACGAATTCTCCAGCACGATAAACTGATCACGTCGATCGATTGGGCCCCAAACTCCAACCGCATCGTCACCGCCTCACAAGACCGCAATGCATACGTCTGGTCCCTCTCTCCCGATCCGCTTACTGGAAACTTGGTGTGGAAGCCTACTCTGGTACTTCTTCGTATCAACAGAGCCGCTACTTTTGTCCGTTGGAGCCCCAATGAAGACAAATTTGCAGTTGCCAGTGGTGCAAGGTACGTATCCTTTTTTTTGCGAGATGATATCATTTCATAAAGTATATACAGGGCGATTGCTATTTGTTCGTTTGATGCTGAGAACAATTGGTGGGTGGCAAGGCAGCTCAAGAAACCAATCAGATCGACCGTCTTGTCTGTCGACTGGCATCCGAACAATGTCTTATTGGCTGCAGGGAGCGCTGATATGAAGGCACGCGTGTTCTCCGCTTACATCAAAGACGTAGACAAGAGGTAACGACAAGCTCTGGATTGCGGTCATATCGTTTACCTTTAATTTGTAGGCCCTCGCCTACCATCTGGGGCGAGAAGCTGCCCTTCAACACTATCTGTGGAGAATATAGCAGCCCCGCAGGAGGATGGGTTCACGCAGTCGGATTTTCTCCTTCTGGAGATGTTTTAGCTTTTGCCAGTGAGTTGCAGCATGTTTGCGTTTTCGCAGGAAGACCCACGATTTTCACAGGTCATGATAGCTCTATCAGCATCGTTTACCCTGGTGGTCCCGTGGTTTACAATATTCGCATTAGTTCTCTGCCATACGTGACTTTAACCTGGACTTCCGAGGACGCATTGGTTGCAGCTGGCCACGATTGTCAACCTGTCGTTTTCTCCGGCTCGGAGCAGGGTTGGGGCCTTATCGGCACTTTAGATGATGTCACCGCTTCCAGTGCATCGAAGACTCATGGTGCAAGGACTGGGACTGTCGGGAGGTTGAACAGTGCAGCGTTCAATACGTTCAGAAACGCGGATACGCGTGGACATACTGGAGGAGGAGACACTGCTTCTGACACGGAGTTGCTCACTGTGCACCAGAACACGATCACCAGCGTCAGGCCGTACGCGTATGGGGGTGAGGGAGTCGTTAGTAGGGTGAGCACTACTGGAGTGGATGGAAAGCTTGTCATTTGGGATGTTAATGCTGTGTCGGCCCTTACTGGAAAGATGGGCGGCTTGAGGGTTTGAAGTTATGAGTACAATTAATCGTACAATGAATAATGTGGTATGTAAGTGTGTACGAAACTCTTTGGATCAGTATCATCTTTGGGTAGTGTCAGCCATCGCGTACGCGTATCCACCCTCGATCTCTTGAACTGGTTGCTCATTGATGACGCCCCAGACTGATGCTTTGAACTGTACCATCTAGATCAGCCTGAAATTGCAGAAGTGAAGGGGTATCAGAATACCAAGGTCAAGACCAAGCCCATTTTTCTCTCCAACACTCTTAAACGCGCGATAAGATTCTCATCTGGTCCCTCGGATAGTTGTCTCGTGGTGACGGTCAACTGCCACACAGATCAGGATCATACTCATCTCAAAGATGCGGACCCACATCTTTGACATGTTGCGATAGTTTAGCGTACTCCCACAAAACATTCGCCTCCAGCGCGGTCAGACTGGGGTGCGATTCGTACGGGTTCGCATCGAACACGTCGGCGGTTCCAGACATGATTGTGAAACCCACAAAAGATTAGTCGGAACTCCGTATGACCAGACGTTGCGAGACCCGCGTTCGACTAAATCTCCAAGTTCAAGGGTCTTGTCTCAAGTACGTGCGGTGGGGCGGCAAAGTTCCTTTTTGGACTTTTCTGCCGGCGGAAAGTAAGGACATTGCCACCGAATTGATACCGCGCGATACCATAAACGGTATGTTTTCTAAAGGACTCCTCTTGGTAGTACAATTATCCTGACGTATGTTCGTTACCGTGCAATGAGACCACAGGCTGACATCCTCCGGCGGTGTAATTCATGCCTATTGATACCGAGGAGACTCGAGTTGCCGATACCACGCTTTGCGGCACAAGAGACGACCCCTAGATGGCACTATCAAAGTTAACGTACGATCGACTGCGCGACACGAGACAACGAGAGGATCGACACGGACGGTACATACTAAATCCCACCATTAAAGTCAAGTGAAAGTACATGTCTGGTGACCCTAGTCTAACAGAGACTAACAGAGACGGAATCGCGTACAGTCATCATAAATCTGGCGCAGTTGGGTGGCTCGCCCTTGTTCTACATAAAAAAAGTAACAAGATCAAGACTCGAGCCTGAGCCTCGAGCTAAGCAGCCGAGTAGCCAGCCGGCTCATTAGATCTTGCGGTACCCTGCTCAGCGGGCGACGCGAATTGGTTTACCCGCCCAAAAGTTCAGTGAGCGGGTTTGCTAACGTTGAGTAAAACTTTTGCTCTTGTTCAAATCCGGGTGTACGCGATCATGGCATAAGTACGATCGCGTTTGGTCGCGAAAAATAATTTTATCCGATACTTCCGAATGTTTAAGTGTTTCTCACGATCGAAAACTGGCTCAAAGTTGCCTTATTTGGATATCCCTCCTTGGACGCAACAATATCAGCATGCTCTCCTAGTAAACAATAGTCCTGGGATAGCCCGATCCCTTATAATAAAACAGTGCATCGCGTATCTTGCAATTCACTCCGTTCCTTTCTAACATCATCACACATGCATTCACCCCCTGTAACTTCATCACGTCTATCTGCACCAAGACCTTTCCCTCCTCCATCTCTCACTGATGTCCCTCATGAATATATCGTCGACCAGCTGAGGACTCTCGCGTCTCACTACTGGGATAGACCGCAGACTGCGGATTGTACAATCAGTAAGTCTTGATGTCTTAATTACGGAACGTTCTAATCGGTTCGGCAGTCGTACCTGTTCCACATCATCGACCATGTCCAGCATATGATTCCCCGCTCACTTCGTCAGACTCTCCCCCGGAGAGCCCACCGAGGGTCCAAGTAGACACTGGAAGGCGAGCAACGGAACCTACTATCCACGCCGTGCCTCGAATGAAACTAAGAGTGAGTCATGCTATTCATCGAAGACGCATAATCCTCATTGTTTGTAGTTGCACATGGACTACCTCTCTTCGCACTCGACATTGCTACGAGGTCTCTTCAGCGGTGCATCACCCAATGATCTCATTCACGCTGGCACCACGCAACCCCGACATCCTCCGCTGCATGTCCCGGAAAGCCGTCTTCCTTCACTTCTTCCTTCTCCGGCGTCCCACCCTGTTCTATTTCTCCCCGTTCCTGATCCATCTTCGATACATCTTATTTTTCACTGGATGTACTTTGGGCAGACAGCACTTATGGAAGACTGTCTAAATCGGGGTGTCGTGCACTGGGAGGGGATCGCGCGTAACGTGGAGTACTTGGGGCTTCCCACAGACATCAAAGTGTTCCTGGGGCGGTGGTACAGGAATTGGCTTCTTCCGGCACATAGCCGGGGCGGCTGTACAACTTATTCGCCCACAGATGATGACGATTCTGATATTGAGCTGGAACTCGATGATGATGACGACGATGATGACGAGGACGAGACAGATGACGAGGAGTACTCAATGGTGAACTCATACACGGAGGATGTAGATGGTATGGCAGAGTTTGAACGAGGCCGGACACGAACGATTCGCCCGTTGACGCGGCTATGCGGGAAACTACAGATGTGTGGAGTATGACAGGCATTTGACAAGAATATTTACGAATAGTTCATTGTATTTCATAATGGTTTGTCATTCATGGGGATGTTTGTTTGGTCTATCTTTATTCATTCTTGTGATACCCAGACTAAGTTTGAGAATTTAATTGTGGCGCCCCGCACAGCGCGTGTTTAATTAGTTGATTATTATGACATATATGATACATAGTACTTGTAATTGTGTCAGAACTGAATCTCTTCTCGTAATCCAGAGCTTCCATACAATTGTCCTCATGACCTACACTCCTGTGTCAGATATGTACAAGACAAAACTTAAGACAGAGCTTCGAGCCTTCTATGCAATTGTTCTCAAAACCTTCGTGAGCGTCAATCTCACGCGGCCAACTAAAACGTGTAACACGAGATAGGATAAACAGAAGCGAATATCCTTCACAAGCATGTCGACGATCTGGCGGCTGGGGATGCCCGTGCATACAAAGACGAGCGACAGTCCCGATAAGAACGTGGCCAACTCCGTATCGGGAAAGTGAGAAGAGCGGTTTGACAGCGGAACCAAACAAATGCGAGCCTTTCCAGATGGGTTTCACTGCGGCTACCGAGGTACTAGTACTGCGCACTCTGTGTTTTTAAACTCGAGCCTTTCCATTTAGCGGCAATCAGAGAAGCAGGTGAAGCGAATAAGCCATGACGAAAGAAATGCACAAGGCATTTGAGACATTCCGATGCTGGCATTAGTACTATAGACGGTCCGACTCCGTGTTCTAAGAACCCCGTCTAAATTAAAGGGGCCGCCGACCAGACAGTCACGGTGCGTTCCGAATTTCCATTAGTATAATTCTCGAGAAGACATACCAGGTCGTGGCCGGCCTGCGCTTTACCTCAATCGATGCCTTCGAGCTCGAGAGCGGAAGTATTAACACCCGGACGGTGCTCGGCTGAAGGCCTGCTTTGCCCCTGTCAAAGAACGGCTGAAAGAAATGTATTAATAAAATAATAATAGTGGCTGATCCCATCTGATGTCTCCCGTTCACCCTGTCAGACCCCAGGCCTCAGGGGTTATATGAGGCGGGGTTCCAATAATCACCCATCACTGTCAGCTGGACGTCCAGTCCAAAATTGACAGTTCCCCGTCAAGCTTAATGAGAATTTTAGCTAGCCTAAGAAGAACGGAAAGGTGGTCAGCGGAAATGAAAACGGTTAGTCTTGGCATACAAGGGGCTTGCGCGTTTGGATGACGTCCTGGAATCAACATACTGGAAATCACATGTAAACTCGAGCATAAGGCCAAGGGCCAATCGCACCATCAAGGACCATCCATTTTCTCGGCATCCGTTCTAGCTGGAAGACTTATGTCAGAAATGTGATCAGGCTCAGTGAAATGTACATAACCAATTGATTAGTCTACCGTAGTCAGACCCTAAGAGAATGAAGACACCGTTCAATCGGTTGAGATGGACGTTGAGAGTAAACGATAACCCTGTGGCGCTCCGAGCCGGAATCAAGACCCTCTAGGGTTAGTGCCGGCCCTGGGCGAGGGTCAAATGTATCAGTTGTTAGAACGTCACCAGTCTAGCTATATAGCCCGGTAATGCGTCATTTTGATACATGGCTATGGACACAACGTTAGTAAATTTATCTGAAACCCTGCAACTGCCAGTGGTAGACGTGACAACGCAAAGCATGAATAAACGCTTCGAGAACTTGCTTACGAGCATGCATGCCTTTGGGAGTCCGAGCAGGATATTTGGTAGCCCGTGAGATCCGTCAATTGAAGTGCCGTACGCGATAACTTATAAACTTGGATTATGCGATTCCACATGATAGCGGAGGGAGAAGTAGTTGGCCGCAAATCCAGAGCCAGCCATAAATACTGAATCGTCAGGCCGATGTAAATCCGCATATCTACCACATGTAAGGACGAAATGGTTGCTTCCGTGGAAGCAATTCACGTGACGCGGCTTCACCTGAGCTTCCAGTACTTACACACACATGCCTCTACGTGACATGAGGTGCTCGAACATGTGTGAACAAGAAAATGAAGCCAGGCGTTCGAGAAGGAGAGGAACGTACACGTTTGCTCTTGGAATGAGGAGTGAAGGACACTCGTGCAGGTTGATATCTACACCGCTTGGTCACGGTTTCGAGGCCAGTGGAAAGGGTGGGGTCAGGATGACGTATCGTGGATGTGATTTGGTAGGATGCCATGTAGCATCAGCCTAGAATGCATAAGTTTACATGAGAAATCGTTTATAGAAGTGTCGCGTACAGCGAACAGTGACATGTCGGGCTGATCCAAAAGAAGGTCGTCGAGGCAAGCTTGTTTTAACTTCGCGATAACATCCAAGGTATATGCCAGTGCATTGTCATTGCAGGCAACGGCTAATAATTTCCTATCTGGTGAAATGGATACCAGGACACTACAAGTGAGGGGCAGACCAATGGGCTGGTTGTTGACAGTTGTTGAAGTTACATGATATTCGTGCCATGGTGTCGTAGAATGTGCTTGCGATGATGTAGCCATAGATAACGCCAGTGTGTTCCAGCACTAGTAGTACGATCTGCTTCCAAGACTTTGTAGTATCCTGGCATGTCCTAATCGAGTGATCGGCTGACCCGGAGAGTTGAGGTTTTAGTCTCAGCTTTCATTCAACAAGGTCCAAAATCATTACTTACCACGATATATTTCTCAGCAGGCCTTGACGTCTTGACACTAAGACGCGATCAGCGTCGTCGAAGGTTAATTCAGAGTCGAGCACACTGCCAGGTTGCATTTGCAAGTCACATGATATTCTCGTAATTAATGGCCAAATATAAAAATTCAAAATTCAAAATGCATAGAGGCTGTGCAGCACAAGCGCTCAACTCAACCCATAAGCATCTGCAAGCCAATGCACGCCAGTCTATGCATCCGATCTAGGCATTGAAGAACTGGACCACAGAACAGACATATCTGTATATGTTGGTGGCCTCAATAAACCGTAGAACCTGCTTGCAGGTTGCACACGAGCATCCTACATAAGTAAGTAGAGATCAAACAGAACGATGTTATCTATTGTTCCATGAGGTAGCAGATCAGAGCATGAGGTATATGCGGGGCCGTATACAACCCGAATAATAATGAATTTGGAGATCCTTTCAACAATCGAAATACACTATCACAGCTAGTCATCATCGAAGAAACACTACCTTTTCCTTCGGCCGTGAAGCATTCCAGGAGACTTCATGGATGACGCCCAACCCAACACGTTGCATCAAGCCCTCATTCTGACTGACCGCCATGACATGTAAGACACATTCATGGTAATACTTGAGACTCTGTTCGTCGTACACGCGGTTCGTACCGGTACGGGAAAGAACGATGAACTCGAGGGACGGCGGAGGCATAGGGTCCAATGGTAGGACCGCAGTGCCAACCCAAATGGGAGGGGATGTGGCGGAGAGAATATTGAAGAGACCGTGGTGGAGAGATGCACCTGAATCATCGTTTTCTTCGCTACCTCGCCATACAATGCCGAAGTGGCTGGAAGTTGTGCGGAAAATGAGGGTGCCTGGTGCTAGCGGTCGATGGATGTCTAACGTCAGCTCCGTTGAGTCTAAAATCCCTGACGGAGGAGAATATGCCAACTTCTCCTCCTCTTTCATGGGATTCGATACGATCCGGGAAACCCGGCGAACATCAAGCTCCACTGTATTACCACTATGGTCCACGATATACCAAGAATTAATAAACGTTTCTACCACCGACGGTTCGCCACTACCGTTGACGATACCAAGATACCGATGCTCCGACGTGTAGTCAACAGCGCCACACCACGTAGCCCATGCCCAAGAAGGTAAAGGTAAACTAACACCATCAGGGAGCGAACGACGAGCGCGAGGCGTGTGTGGGTCATGTTGCCAGAGAAGCGCCTGATGCAGATACGTCAACATCATTCCGCAGTGAAAGACTCTAGCGGGGTCACCGAGGCTAAAGCCTATCGCCAAAGCATTTGTCACTCCAGTGAGAGCATCGACAACATCTGATTCCACGGTGAGATTGCGTCGTGTACACTCCTTGACGGCCCACATGTAACTCCCAAATGGGTCCGCCTGTGGGAAGTAATCTCCACGCGAATACCGAAGAAAGTGGCTGGAGAATTGGTGGCCTTTGCTTTCGGCGACGATGTCTTCGCAGAAGAGATCACGTCGACACTCAAAGTAGGCTTGCTGCTCAGTGAAGTATATCCGTCGGCGGGAGAGTGCGCTCTCTTGATAAGTCCAACAACGTGAATTCCATACGGACAGAGCAAGAGCCTCCTGAAGTCTTGGAGGTCCCACACAGAGATGAAGTCCTTGAACAACCTCGATATGCTGTTTTGGTGTTCTAGTTCGTGGACGGCACCCTGGGATAGGGTCTCGAGCCGACGCGCCGCCAGCGGCCATTACCGTGAGGTAAGAAAGACCGTAAACTAAATCCATAGATTTTATCTGAGTGATTTTGTCCTGCGAACAATCTTGAATGATGCATAGAGCGTCGATCCATAAGTAACGGAGACCGAGTTGTCGAGTGAATAGAATGGAATCAGTTATGGTCGCTGGAAAGATTGCCGTGTTCAACCCGCCAGGCGTGGAGCGCTCCGCTATATTATTCGTCGTCGTCCGATACTCTGTGCTGCCGGTTCCCCACACGTAACTGAGGGCAACATAACGACAGCCAGAAGGTGCGGGAACCAGGGTCATCGAGACCACGTCCACCAATCTCACATATTTCGGCAAATTCTCATCCTCTCCATCACCCATTCTCCACACATTCTGACATTCATCTCCGTGGTTCTCCTGGCACAGCTTAATCCACTTCTTTACCAGGTCGATGTCTACAGTGTTCTTCACCCTGCGACTATGAAGATCGGTTGGTCTCCCGAACTTGAAAGCGTCTTCTTGCATGAGGTAGATGTTAAGCGAACCTGCTGTCGCCCTTGAAGTAGGGTATTTCTCCCAAAATTCCTTTAGGCCCTCCATATTGATGTGGAGACGGTAGCAACGAAATTTGGGTTGAGGATAAAAGGGCCCCCGGAGACAACCACATGCCATTGAGAACAGCCGACATTGAATCCCTGAGAGATCGACGTCAGGGAACTTGTCCAACATCCATGTTCGACGGACGTGAAAGGATATGAGGCGGCAAAAACTGCATTGGTACGATTTTTGTAGGATCGATGAGAGGGAATCGAGTGGGATTTCCTCTGCCTCTGGGATGCCATCAAGGAAGATCTGGTAAAAATTCAAATTTTCACAGACGGAACAGAGTAGTGTGTTGCTGTCAATATGATCTATCTGTTCAGCCTCTTCAATCAGTTCACTGCGGTGGGGACCCAAATGAGTTCCTCACCAGAAGTTCAGTTCGTATTTGGTCTGGGTTTAGAGGAGGGGCGGATTCGGAAGTCCCATCAGATGGGATATTTGCTTTCAGTTTGCATCTCAGGACAACCAATAGCCAGATAACCAAAACTCCCAGGGCAATCCCTCCAATAATTCCAACCAGGGCCGAGACATGTGTGGAGACCGGGCTGAGTGTCAAGAACATCAAAGGGTGGTACTGTAAGCCCTTCATGATTACCTGAGAAGTGCTTGAACAATAAATATGAAAAAAAAACATGAAAGCAGGATACCTACCTGACTGAGTTGCACTATAGAAGGTCATGCGAGTTGCGATGAATTTAGTTTGATTCCTCGTGGTTGCAACAGGGCGAGGAGACGCAGCTGTATAGTACATAAGGCTGTAGAAACCATGAACCCTAATACTTGCAGACGTGTGGCAGCCAATTTGGACCAACGTTGCAACGCCAAGGCCAACAGCCTGACATTTTACTTCCTTCACGTGACACGTGATGATAGTATTAGACACGCGAAAGTATAATTATGTTCGACCCCACGGCTATGTTCCGCTTCGGACGACCAGCGTTGATATACTCATAAAACCCCTTCACTTCCCAACTTATTCGTCCTAGAATCCGAAGCTCTTTTCAGTATGTTGGCCTTAAAATCCGGTAGGCTTATTACAGCACACAAGTTCAACCTACACCGCAACCTCCGACCCATAATCACTAGTCATAGGTCGCGCCAAATCTCAACGTACAACGTTGATATAGCAGGGCTCACAGAAGAGCAAGCTGAGGTATGCCAATGAAATCATGGCCTTCAGCTACAGCTCAGCAGTATAACTTAGTTCCGCAATGCAGTAGCCGAGTTTGCCGAACGGGAGCTTGCCCCGCGTGCTGCACAAATCGACAAGAGCAACAACTTCCCTTCAGTTAGTATTAATAAAAGAATGTTGATATTCTCGTACTCAAGCGTGTTATTGTCAGGACGTCTGGGAGAAACTTGGTGACATGGGTCTACTTGGTATCACCGTTTCGTCAAAGTATGGTGGTTTGGACCTTGGATACTTCTACCACACTTTGGCAATGGAAGAGCTTTCCCGTGCTTCTGGCTCTGTTGCACTGTCGTACGGCGCGCATTCGAACCTCTGTGTGAACCAAATCCATCGTCATGGCACAGAAGCTCAAAAGCAGAAATACCTCCCTGACTTGATTGCTGGGAAGAAAGTGGGTAGTTTGGCTATGAGCGAGCCTGGGAGCGGGCAAGTTGATTGACTTACGATGCATAAAAAGCATGACTTACAGTGAACTAGGAGTGATGTAGTCAGCATGAGTTTGAGGGCAGATAAAATAGACGGTGGTTGGAAGCTGAATGGGAACAAGTTCTGGTGATAATTCAATCGTATCGTCCATGAATTGTTCTAACAGTCCCGCAGGATTACCAATGGACCGACAGCATCAACACTAGTCGTTTACGCCAAGACCGCTCCTGAGAGAGGTTCCAAAGGCATAACCGCATTCATTATCGAGAACACGTTCGAAGGCTTTTCCACGCATCAGAAGCTCGATAAATTCGGCATGAGAGGCAGTGATACTTGCGAACTTGTCTTCGATAACTGCAAAGTCCCAGAAGGTTTGTTTTTATGCACTCAATTAAGGAAAACTCATCAACTCTTGCTACTCATAAGAGAACGTCCTTGGCCAGGTTAACAAAGGCGCGGGGGTCTTAATGTCTGGGCTTGACCTTGAACGTCTTGTCCTGAGTGGCGGTCCCTTGGGGTAGGGTTATTTTATCAAACGCTTGGGACCGTTTACTCAACATTACTTCCTGAAGTTTGGCGCAAGCTGCATTCGATTATGCAGTAGAATATGTCCACGATCGCAAGCAGTTTGGACAACCTGTGGGAACATTCCAATTAATGCAAGGTAGGTTGACCAGGCTCCATGATCGACACAGCGACTGATGAAGATCTTCCAGGCAAGATTGCTGATATGTATACAAGTATTAATGCCAGCCGCGCGTATGTCTATGCTGTTGCAAGAGCTTGTGACCGTGGTCAGATCAGTCGTCGAGTAAGTAAGACCGGGAATCCAAACGCTGGTGGTTCCTTATTTTATACCGCTAGGACTGCGCTGGTGCCATCCTCTACTCTACCGAGAAAGCTATAGAGGTCGCACTGGAAGGCATGCAATGCCTCGGCGGTAACGGATACATCAATGGTTTGAATTATCTGTGATTTCGTGATGGCTGCTACTTACATTTAAACTAGATTATCCTATGGGTCGCATTTTACGCGATTCTAGGTTGTATGCGGTGGGTGCCGGGACGCAAGAGATAAGGAGGATGCTGATAGGAAGGGAGTTCAATGAGCAGTTCAAATCCTCATGATACCTCAGTGGTACTCCAGGCTGCTTTCGGACAGTAGTAGACAGTGGTTCAATCGTCCCTAGCCTGGACAATACCGTGTTTGAGCAATCATGACAGGCGTGCATAAGATTTTGAGATGAGCGATATCTCCGAATCTGACAGCATTGTATCACATTGAATTTGTATATGTTTTAGTTTGTAATGTGCAAGGTAGGGCCTCACTGAGGCAGAACCTTGATCAAAGTCGCCGCGGCGGGTTATGTAACTCAGACCGGGTTCATGTATTCCAATAAGAAAAAAATTAGCTTGTGGTAATCGCTTCGGGGAAAACGCATGTATGTTTCGTACAGTCAGGTCTAGCATAAAATGGGTTGAACGTCCGCCTGGCAATTTTCTTTGCGGTCGAGATTAGATTTCCTTCGAGTCATTTGTTCAGACGGTGGCCCGTTGTGTGTCATCAAGACTATAGTATTGTTACATAGGGTATACTTCCAATTGGTATAGGTACTCGTGTCTATTCCAAAATAAATGAGGAATAAATGATGCAGGCTGCTGCAATGAGAAAAGGGATATAAACAAGTAAGATGTCATGTGAAGATATGTGAAGTCTACGATAATGAGACTGAACAAAAACACAAGGCAGTCCAAGAGCGATCGCTCGACATCCAATAGATAATCAGAAAAAGGAATATTGAAAACAGAAACATCGAATGGGGTCAAGGGAGGCCCGATTGCATTTACATTAAGGGCCAGGAGCATCCATCACTTTCTCAGCCAAGAGAAGGAGACGGTGGTGCGGAGAACAGGTACGTGGAAGGGTCAAATGCATCATTGGACGGTGTGGGAGAGGATGGTTCTGAGAATAAACCGGATGAATCATCATCATCATCATCATCATCATCATCGTTTACATCCTCAGACGGGGGAAGAGACGATGGCGGCAAAGGAGGTTGGGGGGGAGCAGCGGTCTGCTTGAAAATTGACAATGAGAAATCACTCGCGACGATTGGTATAGCATGGCCAGATGACGGCTGCGCGGGTTGTGGTTTAGGTGCAGATGGGAGGGGAGTAGAAGTCTGGTTCGGGGTACCCTGGAAGGCCTGCAACGGGGGTGCGACAGCCGGCTGCTGCACAGTGGTCGGTTTAAATGAGGGTTTCGGAATGTTGGATTGCATCTTGGGGAGAGATGGAACTCCCTGCGAGAACGCAGGCCAGGTTGGGACATGCTGGATCATCGACCTTGCGTCAGTTCGTGTGGCCTGCAGACTGAATTGTTGACTCACCGAGCTCGATGCAGGTCCTCGTGCTTTCAAGGTGAATTGCTGATGAGACATCGCGAAGGGGGCCGTAGCGCCAAACGTGCTATTCGCAGCGGCTTGAATAGCATGTGGTGGGGCAACATGCGAGGGCAGGGATTGTTGGTTCGCGGAGCCCGATGCAGGTCCTTGGACTTTGATGGCGAATTGTTGCTGAGACATTGCGACGGAGGACGCAGCGCGAGATATGCTATTCCCAACGGCCTGAATAACATGCGGTGGGGCCACAGACGGGGGCAAGGATTGTTGGGTCGCCGAGCTCGATGCAGGGCCTGAGGAAGATGCGAAAGTGTTGTTCCCAAGCGCTTGAGAGTTTGCTTGAGCCAGAGTCTTCTCCCTATTTCTGGTGCACTGTTGAGAGCGTTGATGCCTTTTCAACGCATCCTGGCGGTTGAAACTATAAGAATAAACATCTCAGCCCATGGTCATATTTGAAATAAGAGGAGTACTCACCCGGTGCCACATGCTTCGCACACATACTTAAAATTTGATCCAGTATGCGAGACCGTCTCCGTTACATGTTTATGAACGCTGGCCTCCAGCATCGGACGACAGCTTCTGCATGCGTTTTTAAGACATTTCCACCTCTCTTTCCCATCTGTACCCGGCGGCACGAGTTCCTGATGAAACAGCTGTCAGCCGGATGGTGAAGACCAGATAAATAAAATTGACTCACAAAATCTGGATTGCCCTGAGGACGTTGACGTTTTTCTCTCGTGCCTTCGGTCATGTCATCCTCATCAACCGCCTTCCTCTTCAAACCCGTAGAACTTCCCCCCACTGGGCCTACAGATGGTACTTGTGGCATTGGCGCAGCATCTGACATCACCTTCACCTGCTGGTGAGGCGGGACCTGCGCTGCAGGAGCAGGGGGGGCTTGCATTGGGGCACCGTGATAAGGTGCTGCAGCAGGCGCTGCACCATGAGCTTGAGGTCCGGGGTAGCCACCATAATAATTTGGTGCGGGTGCGTGGTAGCCGTACCCTGGCCACTGATACATGGGACCTTGAGGATTGTAGGGGATGGGCGGGGGAGGAGCATATCCGGCGTTCCACATCGGAGGCAGACCTGGAGGTCCTTTCCCGGCGAGCCCCGCAGTCTCTTTGGCGATTTCGTTCAGTGCATAAAGAGACGGCCCAGGGACATTCTGGTTTTGCAGGGCAGGCGCATTCGAAGGGTACGTTGGTGGATGGGAGGGCTGAGGCTGGGGCTGGGGCTGAGGCTGGTGTGGATTGAATACGAGTTGAGGCTGCTGCTGCAATGAGAAAGGCGGTTGGCCTCCTTGAAGCTGGACCTGCGGCTGTTGAGTTGACGCGTTGAAAGTGCCATTCAGGCCGGAAGGTGCATGTCCCGTGGAAGATGAAGAGTTGTTGCCGTTCATGTTGACGGAGGGAGAGTGTTTCGGTGGCGGTAGGTCCTAGCGCGTAGTAGTAGAGAAGCAAATTGGATGAGAGTAAGTATACAAGTTAGATAGCGAAGTGCAGTATCTGGAAGAGAGTAGTGAGGAAGAGAGAAGAAACACAAGTACTCAGTTTTTAAACTGTTGAGTTTCCGCTTTAAACATTTAAAGCAACTGAGGCGTACCTTCCCCTTTCATTTTGTGGACCACAGCGTGTCGCCCCAGCAAAGCGAGGTATACAAAAGGAGTCCATCCACAGACCATATATTTTTTTCCAACGGGCAATAACACGACACGCAGTGTACCCGGATATTTCACTGCACGACTGTGGAAAACTCAATTGGTTGGATTGTCGTCCTCCGAAGTTCCAAATAGCTTAGGAGATATATGCAGCAACTCATTTTTCTTCTTAACAACATTGAACGCGACGCGCCGCATCAGAATTTCAGATTCGATTTCGTCTTTAGCTGCCTGTTCATGGAATTTCTTCGTGCGCAAGGACTCGTCGTTTTCCTCAGATGCTGCCGACAGCTATTGACATGGGACATTGCATGCTCGATAATTTGATTGAAAAAATCTATCAACACGAACAGATCAGACAGGAGTCGCATGGTTAACGATACAAATAGGGGATATCACGTCCAACGATGTGGCACGTGAACGAGCACGTGTCTCTGATTGCCAGTCCACAGTCTGCGCGGAGATCGAATCTACATCCAACACCTTACTTCACTGTTACCGAACTGTGCATTCAAGAAGTGGATGTGACTCACTGCCATTAGATCATATCACATCGTCACATCGAGATTAGTTTACGACGCTTGCAATTCACAGAAGGGTTTCGCCTGTGTGACGAATAGATAATGAGCATCATTGATAATCCACATTGTAGGTAGTCCCTGTGGATGCTCGAAAGTGCACGGCGGTCGTGCATCCCCATTCAAGAATATGGGACAACCGCGCTGACAACAAACGCGGCAACAGATGGACGACTTACCCAAAGCAGAACGGACCAATGAGCACCCCACCGTCACGGTCTGGCGTACACTCTCAGCATCTGCAAGCGTGGGGTTGACCTCCTGCGTGCGATAGATCAAATCAGATCAAGTCAATGGGAACAAAGATGTAGGTCAGGACACGTACCATCAAGTCGAACGCGACGAGTAACCCAGTTTGGTGAATCGCCTCGCAGATGTAGTGTCCTTCACGGAAGGTGAGCCCACCGCGCACCTGCAGGATTTCGGTTAGTTCTGCTCATTAAGACATTTAATTTGACTTGAAATTAATTTGTTTAGAAATACAATATCTACCCGCCGTGGGCTTGGACATTCCTGCCATGGATCAAAACACCTATGTTTCCAAGAGGCATGCGCACTACAAAGCGTCTGCACAAGCCAATATACGTTTATTTCATAGGTGGCGTATTTTCTAAGCGCCCCTTCAGGGCCAAGATGCAGGGAGCATTTTCGTGCACATTCTCGCATCTTCAATAAGCAAAAGTTGTTCTTTTCATTCTCAGCACGCGCTAAGTCACCAAAGCGCTCAGAAGGCACGGCTGACTCAAAAAGTACGTGCCAGGATACTGAGATACTCACCGGTGTCCCCGTGCTAGGCGCAACGCTTGGGTCGAGCGCGTCGACATCAAAGCTCAGGTGAATAGGACGGTCTCTTTGTGGGTTCACATGGTCGAGAGCCATTTCGACCACCTTGCCAATGCCATAGCTAGGTGAAATACAATCAGCGTAAGCGCCCTACTCTCCACCGGATTCCAAACTTACCGATCAACCTCATGCATGCTAAACGCCTTGATGCTGTGTTTCTTCAAGATCTCCTTTTCGCCCCTGTCCACGTCCCGTAATCCGATGTAGACGAGACGCTCAGCAGGGAGGTGAGAGACCCAGTCGAACTTTGCAAGGACTGAGTCTGGGGACGGAGCAGGGGGGTTGAGCTTGAGGAGAAAGGAGAGGGGCATGCCGTGGATGTTTCCGCTGTCGGTAGAGTGGATGGTATTGATATCCGCGTGAGCATCTATCCAGATGACACAAGCTTGGTCATATGCTCTGTGGGTAGAATGTCACAACAATGGTAGCAACTCATGTAAACGGGCTCACCTTAGGGTTCCGGAGATAGTGCCCATGGCTAGGGAATGGTCTCCGCCGAGGGTGACGGGGAGGTGTCCCATCTCTGCATGAGCCTGCACGGCAGATGCAACACTCTCGCAGACCTGTGCAACGAGCAGAGGGCTTCTCAATCTCGCGATGGATGCGTCTAATGCCGTATTAACAGCGGCGTCACTTGTGCCATTAACTTGGATGCCATCGGGTGGGGTAGAAATATCTTCAAATTGGTGGTGCCCGTCAAAAACGACGCGCCATCCGAGTTCTTCGATCTCGTTAATGAGCCCTGCCTGGACGAGGTGGATAGGACCTTTGTCTACGCCAAGCTTTGACTGAGAGAAAAGAGAGTGAGTAGGTGATTCAAAAAAGAAAATTGAGAGAACAGACCTGACCACCGCTATAGCCGGCGGTGCCGTAAGATTACCGACACCCGAGTAGCAGCCGATATTGGAATGCTCACCTAAACGGACATCCTACAATCTGAAACGATGAGAAGTCAGTATTACAGGGTATATTGGGATAGAAAACACGTACAGCAACGGTCTTTGGGCTCGGTAAAAATTTATTAGAAGGCGTTGACGACATACTGAAGGTTGACGGTGAGTCACTTAGTGGAGAGTCAAAGCGTAGCTAAGGTGGGTGTATGAGACTGAGGAGGGAATCTTTTTTCTAGGCTGATATCTGGGTTCAAGAAGGAAGAAAAATGTATATCAATCACAAGGCTAGGCTTGATAGTAAGATCCGACGCTGCATGGCGGTATTTTCCGGGTCGGCCGGTCAACTGTACTGGTGATTGCTGCATACCATTGAACGCTACACCTCACAGGTTTCACAATGTTAATGCTCTTGTTATATGATTGATGGTCAACGTTAACGGTGGGTTCAATACAGCATGGTCTAGCGTCGGAGCTTGAATACATGAATCATTGTTGCGTCAGATTGCCTCGTGAACTTGGGTTATCGGATGACATCGATGAGCGCTAGTATAGGCAGCCAGGCTCCTGCAGCTGGGCCTCGACACGATCGTTCATGACGCTCCATGCAAAGTTTAACTGCGTTGAACAATATCCACTGGCGTTCGAGTACAGCAATCACTTGTCCTGGCCGTGACTCAATCGGCAGTTGATGGGCTAGCCGACAAGGGGACTCTCTGCGACAGTGTAAGCGATAGATAGGGCCACGATGCGGTAGCTCAGTGGGGCCTCTCTGGCTATGTTTGGATAGGCACGCATCAGTTATTATTGGAGTTGGCACAGGATATCAAATCTTTCTTTGATTCCGCTGATATTGGCATGCCAGCAGAGCCCCAAAAGCAGTGAATAATATTACATATATTAAGAACCTGCCAGACGTCTTGAACCATCCATAATTATTCTGCCATTGGTTCCCATATAAACCTGCCCTCTGCCCTTTCTCTGTTTCTATTACGCTAGAAGCATGTCCAAACCCCCAACTAGACCCAACAGTGCCTACCCTTCACGTAGCGGCACTCCATCCTTAAGAGACGTCGTAAGTTCACCGACTTTCATTCTTCCCTTCCCTATCTCTAACCGTCTCATCCATGCACGTTCACCTCCACCTCCCCCGTCTCCCTTCTTCCAAAACTATCTCTAATCAGGTCCATGGTGTTATGAAAATCTTCCATCATGAGAAAGAATCCGAAGCTCATCAAGTACTTAAATCTCCCAAGATCTCATATATCCTTGTCACCTAATTCTTTCCCAGATATTCCGTCAACAAGTTGGACATCAGCCCAAACCCGCCCTAGGCCTTCCTCAGACTATCAACCCTGTAGGTTTTTCCCTTCCTTTACATCACGTGACTTGACCCGTCATTTAGGATGAAGAAACCGTTCCTGGTATCGAGCACCCTGGCAGCACCGGTGTTATCTACTGTTCAGATCGCGCTATAGCGAACGGTTTCAACTATGCTAATTCTCACGAATGGGCAAACTTGGGTCAGGGTGCCCCAGAGGTAGGCCCTATCCCCAATGCTCCCCCCCGCCCAGAGAATATTCCCTTGCCTGTGGATTCTTTGGAGTATGCACCCACAACGGGTGTCAAAGGTCAATCTTTCTTAGTCCGTGAACGCGATCAGCGCTGAACCGATTGTACAACCAGAACTTCGTGAAGCAGTAGCTCACCTCTACAACGATACTTACCGTAAGGGCAAAGCAAGTCAGTACACATACGAGAATGTGTGCATCGTGCCCGGTGGACGTGCGGGGCTTTCCCGTGTCGCAGCTGTCATTGGCGACGTTTATTGTGTACGAGTCGCTTCTCTAGCTTCCTTGTCTGCTCACCAAATTTCGCGCATATAGTCATACCAGGTTCCAGACTATACCGCCTACGACCAAGTCCTAAGTGCATTTAAGCGACTCGTACCTGTTCCCACTGCGTGCGTGTTTTCATCCTCCCTGACCTATATTAAACCGACTGAATTCTTGGATTAAATCAGATTGGATCCCAAGGTACACATACCCCATAAGATGTATACCACAACTTACTGAATGGATTCCGTTACATAGCATAAATACCGCCTTGATATCGAACAAACCAAGGTTTGTTTCTAACGAAACTCGCATAAACCCACACTGATTGATCGTGCTAACAGAAAGATATCCTTACTCAAGGCCTTGCTGTCGTCATTGCCTCGAACCCGAGGAATCCGACGGGGCAAGTTATTGCGTGCGTGTTTCCCTTATCTTTCTCCACTTTTTCATATCTGATACTTGATGATCAAAGTGGCAAAGATCTCAAAGAGCTCGTTTCGCTCAGCCGGGAGAACACAACGATCATTCTTGATGAGGTATGTCCCTTCCCTTTAGCCACCTCTCACTTAACGCTGACGGTTAAAATCTTGCAGTTCTACTCCTGGTACATCTACCCCGACAATGAGAAAGATATCGGAAAGAGTATCTCCTCTGCCGAATATGTCGAGGATGTAAATAGTGATTCTGTAGTTATCATAGACGGGTTGACCAAGGTGCGTTTTTGACACACCTTCACTGTGCATTCTCCCTTAAGCTTAATTCATACAATGCTGGTAGAACTGGCGTCTACCAGGTTGGCGTGTCTGCTGGGTCATTGGGCCCAAGAACCTCATCACCGCACTTTCACAATCGGGTTCATTCCTTGATGGGGGTGCGAATCATCCGTGAGTGCCATCCCGTTCCCTCATCTCTCCAACGTTCATTGAACCCTTGTGCAGCATGCAACTTGCAGCCCTCCCACTCCTTGAGCCGTCACGTGTCAAGATAGAGAAGGTGGGCCAATTATTAGATGTAGCAAAGAAATAAGCTGACATGAAATAGGTGGCCCTTCAAAGACACTTCAAAGCCAAGCGGGACCACGTGCTGAAGCGCTTGCATGCACTTCATTTGGACGTGGAAGTTCCTCCCCAAGCGACGTTTTACGTCTGGTTGAACTTAGAGAAGTTACCTCCTCCGCTTAACAATGGTTTGGTGAGTAATGATCCTCGCCTCCCCTGTCTTTGAACCACGGGAGGACGGAGGGGAAAGAACAAACGCTGATTCTTCTCAATGTGTCAGACCTTCTTTGAAGAGCTCCTGAAAGAGCAAACGATCGTTATTCCGGGTATCTTCTTCGATATCAACCCGGCACACCGTAGGAACTTGTTCAACAGCCCGTGTCATCACTACGTGCGGTTGTCGTTTGGGCCGCCTATGAAGGATTTGGACAAGGGTGAGTTTGCTGTCACTTTTAATATCGCACTTGGTTCCTCTGTTCTCCCGTCTGCTTACTTCTGAGAGGGTGTCTTGCGTTCTTATTACTTTTATCCTTCTATATTATCCATGGATGCTGACGTCAGCCTGGCACACAGGTCTCGATGCCATCGGTCGGGTGGTTGCTGCTGCAAGACTGGGGGGCACCAAGAAGATGGGACACAGCTATAAGAAGAGCTTGGAGAGCAGTTCTGAAATCAACGTCTAAACCGTGATTGACTGTCCCCCCCCTCCCCATGGTGGTCGTACGCCGGCTGGTATTGGAATCGTCATAGATGACTGAGAATAGAAATGGTAAATGGTTTGGACAGTATATTAATTATGAAAGATGCCGGTTTGTTTGTATCATCCTCAGTAGGCTAGCTCTGTATATAGCGTCGACCGATGTTTAGACTTGTACGGATGTATACGGAGGCAGGTCAGAAAATGACATGTACTATGGGCTTGAGACGTGGGGGAAGCCATCATGGGCAACACGTAGATCCCTCAGTCGTATTTGGGTGGTGAGAACAAAGCTGTCGATCTGCCATAGGCCGACACCGTTGAGGATAGTATTTGCAACCAACAGACGGCCTTGCAAAGCACTTGTGCAGTGTGCAGGTCATAGCTCAGCCGACTTGCTGGCCAGATCAGGGATCAATAAAACAATATCTTGATGTATGGCTTCGATTGATGACCAGGGCAGCATGAAGCACAAGGTGTCATAACCAGTACCCTACAAGCGTAATCGCAATGAACGTTGATTACATCGACGGGTCAAAAGACGCGAACGCAGCCTTGAATGCCTTTACATCTGCTTTATCCTCCTCCTCGGGAAGCATACATGCCTTCCAGTCCACCCTATCAGGAATACCTAGTATGTCGGTTAAAACTTGCCTGTAAATAATACCAGAGTTCCATTAGCGATTGCAAAAATACAAGAGCATGATCCACGACGACGGAGATAGGCAACAGAAACGGGAACAAGAACAAGCAACGCGTGAGTCCAACTCCATTCCCGCGGCAAAACGATATACCAAAGACAAGAAAGAGGACAAGGAAATCACCACAGCCCGCTCACCTGCCAAACTGCACCCCAAACGGTGCATGATCCTCGATCAGATGGACCAACGACCTCCCATCAGGCAAGTCCACTCTGAAATAGCTCCTACCCCTCCCGCCTGGTAGTCCTGAACTTTGACAATCTTCCAATGTGCCATCGAAATTGATTCCCTGAGACTTGAACGCTTGTTCCACCTTCCCCGCGAGCGAGATAGGCACAGGGACGGCTTGTACATGTGCATGCCCTCCTTTTGTGCTCAGACGTCCGACTTCGAAGAATACGGCGCTTGCGTTGTGGGCGGCGTAGAGAGCACGGAGAGAAGACTTATATCTATGGAGTAGTTGTCAGATTCCAGAGTCGGTAGATGAGGAAAGAGGACACTGATCACGTACTTATCAGTCTCCTCTAGAATTGGAGGTGCGATGTCAGCGGGGATGGTGTTGTACGTTGGGTGGTGCGCAATAGGTACGATGAGGACGTGGCCTCCACCCGGGACAGTACTAATGCTGCTATTATTTCCGTCGGCGTTGGATTGCGTAGGAATAATTTGACCCTTTGGAAGCGTCACATAACATTCATTTCCGATGGAGACTATGAGATGTTTTCTGTACGAGCATGGATTAACAGGCAACAGGGAGGTAACGAAAGAGTGCGTACGCGAGGTTGGGATTAGATAGGCAGAACCAGCATTCGTCGGCTGTAGGCCATAAGTATCACGAATCACATTCAAACAATTATGCTCACGTCCGATCTCCTTGATCTGATCTCTCTTCCCTCTCCGCTCCCCACCGCGCTGCCCTGCATTTGCAACCGGGCAGTCTTCAATGTAATGCTCCTCGCTGGCACACGCGCGGCACACATACCCCGGGCGTGGTTTTCGCCCACCTGTATCGCCCACAGCATGGCGCGTAGGGCAGTCACGTACAAGATGCCCAGGCGTATTACAGATACGGCACACGTATCCTTCGGGAGGTTTCTGGCGTTCGGGGCAAGAGGTGATGAAATGCTGTTTACAGGAGCTTAGCGCAAATTGTGGTAAGGTAGGGGAGGAGAACCTCAGTGGATTCACACCTCCGACATTTGTACCCTGGTGGTGGTTTGCCTTCCTCACCTTGTGGTGCGTCTACTTTGATTAGATGAAGTGTGCTGAATAAGGTTGAGTGCTCACTTGTTCGTGGACGCTTGCCGTGCTGGGGAACGTTTCCCCATATGAAATTCTCTGTTGTTTCGAATGTTTCGAGCGTCCGCTTTGGGGGTCGGGGAGCTAATTCAGTAAAAGGGTTTTTGGTGGCGTTTGTGGGGCGGGCTGGAGCGGGGTTTGACGGCGAAGGTGGGGTGATTGAAAATGCGTAAAACCACTGTTTGCGAACATAGTTTCAATGATTTGGTATCACGACGGAAGTTCCAACGTACCCTTGGCTTCTTGCCACCCGTAGCTTTCGGCACCAAATGCACCTAGACTTACGAACCTGGAAACCCTTCCTGCTTCATCATCCCACACGAAAGGTTCCCGCTCCCAAAACTGTGGCGGCCGGCCACCCAAGGCAGCAAAATGATATCTGGGTTTGACCTTCCTAATTACCTCATCCAGTGGTGTGGCGCCCTCAGATGCGAGCTCTGGAGAAGGTAAAGGCGCTGAGGAGTGCTGTGTGATGCATGCAGGCCAGTCATTTGTGATGAGGATGTCGACAAGCTGCGAGGAAGAAGAGGCGTTAAGGATGGAGGTAAGGGAGCTATACGTTTGGTTCTTGGATTGGGATTTTGAGGATGATTTGACGAGAGTGTTGGAGAGGAGGCGTTCGACGGTGTGGGTGGAGAAGAAAGGGGATGCAAACCCCTAGAATATGATGATTAGCGCTTACCTTGAGAAAAATAGGAACAAACACTGCACAGGAGGGGCTTCAGCGGTGGTGTAGATGCCTGGGTTGTAGATGCCACCTAGGCAAGCTATCCGAAGACCATGAGCGGTCGTCATAATCCCTGATTTATCTGGCAACTCGGTCAAACTCAAACTCATACGACAAAAAAGTGTGATGTAAGACAAAACTCACTCAGTAAAAATACATCCTTGCATAGCTCTCCACTAGTCTTGGCGTATTTTTCTATCACAGAATCAGGTAGGGGGTTCTCTCCTTGCATGATGTAACATTTCAGAGGGACTGAGGAATGGGTTAAGACAAAGTATAGCACTTATGAGACTGTGTACCTGCCTTCAATATCACCATTCAGAAGTTGCTCGGTTTCATCTGTTCCATCCTGCAAAGCCCCTGGCTCTTTCAAGGGACCAAAGAAGTCGCCTGATGCAGAGCACACAGTCAAATTTACCATGCTTCAGCGTCGATGGCTTTAATTTTCAGAAAAAGGTCGCTGTATGGACCCTACTGCAGAGCCTACCGTGAGTCTGTAGAAGCGAGCTCTGTTATTGATTTTATAGGCCGTTCATGGTGACTAAAAGCCTACATTTTCACGGGCAAAGCACTTGACGCTGTTGGTAGAGTGGAGGACGCCATGAAACTCTCCGTAGCACGTGATCGCCCTTGCACTGGAAACAAAAAGGGAATTATACCACGTGGACCAAACTTCCCCCTAGTATGTCGTGCCAGTCTACGCGACAGAGCTCTGCCCAGTTTATGCTGAAACAAAAACAACGGTGCTAATTCCAATTCGCCACCTCACTTGCTCATTGAACGTTGAACGTTGAACTGTGTTTGTATTCTAAATTCATTATTGCCGCACGCACGCGCTAAACCGGTGCACTCCTTGTATTTTTTCCCTGCCCCTCCTGGGCCCTGGCTCCGAGTCAGTTGAGGCAGCGATGATCCTCCTCCAAAATAAAATACTGTGTTTGTTTCGGAGATTGATGGTTTCTTCTATCATCTACACAGCGCAAACAAAATTTAGGAACAAAGTCGTTGTGGAACACTGCTGATAGGTCCTCTGACGCTCGGTTGCGTGGCAGCTGCGCGTGGTTTTGCATAGCGCAAGGTCCGTGATCAACGTTAACTCTTATATTTGCGTGACCGTCGCCACTCAAAAAAGTTCGTTGGATTCTCAGAATATGTCTGATTTTTCTAGGACAACCTTGTACCACAAAGGCCCATCTGTCAAAGGATTATGGGGCTCGATGAGCTTGCGGTTGCGAGGCACTCTGCGATACAGGCTCTGCCACTTAGGTTCTTCACTACATTCACTTTTACGGACTATTTCGCGAGATGAAAGGGATTAAGTGATGTGGCTTATGTAGATTTGTGCTTCGTGAGTTTTACATAAGGTTTAAATGCTGGACTTCATACTAGTCACAGAACCGAAGAAGGTCCAAGCAATTCGGTTTACATATACCATTTACGTTTTTGGGAACAAGGACCCCATGGCAAAATAATACCAACGCGCTTGCCTGAAGTCATGTTGCCTATTCTGTTCGGGGCATTGTTCCATACGGATGTAAATCTCGTCTTCCGAAGTAACTTACATCATGGATGGGCCGCAAGCGTCTATATATTTTCTTGTCGCCAACCAGTCGTTCCTTACCACCTTGCGTACTTGGGATACTTAGCTTGTCACGGTCATTCTCACCTGCCGCGGCCTGTCGTCTCGCAGGAACGGCCATCGACAAGCTGGATTCTGTATTTAAAGCGGTTCGTTGAAGTTGACTTCCCTCTCCAGCAACAGTGTCGGGAATCTCTACGTTTGGGTCAATTTCGTCCGTTCTCTGAATCATGAATTCATTCATTTTGTCCCTAGACTAAAAGCATGGTATTGTTTACAATCACCTGCATCCTTTTGTCACCGCTGCTCACGTCACTATCACATGCATCCCCTGTCTCGCGAGAGTTCTCAAGTTCGGGACTACCACATCCGTCGCTAGACTCCAAAAGTTGGTTTTGCCATCTCGTCCACGCGAAATTGGCTCAAAAACTTTGCCTACGAGCCGGGTCAACTGCAATATCCGTCAATACCCCCCTGGGCGTCGCACAGGGTACAGTCGATGTCTCGGGTGTTAACAGGTTTGCTGCGAAGTATGCTTCCGCAGAACGCTGGTCCCCATCCGCTATGGTGACTACATGGGCACTCCCGTATGTTAATTACATCACCTCTCATTTGCTGCCGATCACATGATATACACTACATCGATAGCAATGGTTCTACAAATGTCTCAGCGCTGCCGCTTACGTGCCCGCAGCCATATGCGAATACCTCCACATTCACCGAGGATTGCATGTCGATGATTCTCTATGTTCCTACCACCTTACACGCAGACAGCTGTGTACCCACTTTGATGTGGTACGTACAACGATCATTTTTTCGGCGATGGTGACCGTCATATATTCTGGTAGGGTTCATGGAGGTTCTTTTATGGTCGGTTCCGCCACAGATCCCGGTCTAGATGGATCTGCACTGGCACTTGCCACTGACTCGATCGTTGCGGTCATTCAGTACCGCCTGGGAGCTGTAAGTGCTTTCACTGTAAGCAATCCATGTCACTGTCAACTCGCATGATTCCTTTAAGCTTGGCTTCGTTGCTCCCAACAATCAGACCAATCTTGGTCTGGGAGATGCTGTAAATGCTCTCAAATTTTTGGCGACTGTGCTTTCTAGCTTCGGCGGTGACCCGAGCAAGATCACTCTAGCCGGTCAAAGCAGTGGTGCAAATTTGATTCGTGCCCTTCTTGCTGTGCCTTCTGCACAGTCACTATTTCAATCTGCGATTTTGCAGTCTGACCCTATGGTAAGTGGTATGCACGTCACTGGTAGGAACGTGAGACTCATTACTGCGTCAGGACTATGGCTTCCTGTCATCATCTGATCAGGTCCAACTCCAGCAGTATTTCGTGTCAAATCTTGATTGTACTGCAACCGACTTGGCATGTCTAAATGCTTTAACCGCGAATGATATCGTCAATGGTGCTGGTCTTTGGCAATACAACAGCTCTGTTTACATCATCCCAGCCGCAACTCAATCGGAGCCAATGCGTGTTGTGAATGACGGCACCTTTATCACCTCGACCTTGGACTCAACTTCACCATTCCCCCGGGTTTCCAAGCCCATCTTGCTTTCTAATGTTCCTGACGAAGGAGGCTATGCGATTTACGGTTCATTTCCTAATTCCATGCCCGAAGCTGAGTACGTTGCTATTGTCAACGCCTCGTTCGGCGAGGCACGCTATGAGGCTCTCATGGGCTCGCAAAGCTATGCCGTTGGGACTACTCAAAATGATGACTACCGTCCTCAGCTCCAAGTGCTCGCCACAGATTCGATCTGGAGATGTGCAACGTGGACTTTTGCGCGAAATTGGGTTTCTAATGGTGGCACTGCATATGTGGGATTGTACTCCGTTGGTGCTAGCTACCCCAGCAACTCCGCTGTCTCTTTCTGCACCGAACCGGGCGTTATTTGTCATCAAGATGATATTGAGATAGTTGTAAGTAAACACTTGCTATGTTCCATTTTTCACAACTCATGTTTTGTACTAGTTTGGCACTGCTCTTAACCCTGACTTGGCCCAGTCAGCGCTGATTGCTGAAATGCAAGCCCGTTATAAGTCATTCTTGTATAGCGGGAACCCAAACCCTGATGATTCATCATATGCCGATTGGCAGGCCGCTGACGCATCTGACGTCAATGCCATTATGCTCGGCAGCACTGGCGATGCGCCTATTGGCGCTTGCACCCCATCTTTTTGGGGTCAAAGTGTCGCGTACGATTATCAGGCATTCAATGTTTAGAACCCCCGTATGAAAGTTGATGTGGTCTCCCGGATACTGGATTCGTGTTATTATTTTCATCTCCAGGTCTCCAGGTGCATAATGAATTTCGGGTTCTGTTGTGTTTATTTTTCTCTTTTATCTAGATTGCTTTACATGTCATACATTGTAGCCCTTACTCTGTTGTTTTCCCCACTAAACGCCACTGTAGCCCAAATTACTTTCTTTAAATACACCAATCGCATTGTTCTCGGTATCAGAAAATGTGAATGATTGAACTGACTGATGTGACAGTCGTGAGGGTATGCCAACATGAAATCCTTAAAGTTTGGGTATATCAACTTCGACCGGGCATTGAGTGAACAAGTCAAAGTTGCGCTGCAAATTCATCTGAGAGAATGGCTATTTGAGCAATTAGACCAACGCAAGCCCAAAAATACGAGAATGTGATGCCGTACCGTGCCTACCCGTCCCACTACCATACGGTGTAGCCGACCCTTTGGACCACCTCTCAATTCATCGCCCTCGTAGACGAAAGCTTGATTCACTCCGTTATTGACACGGAGAAACTTTGGGTTGATCACCATCCGTCCGAATGCAGCTCTAGACAACATCTGAACTGTATTTCTCTGGCTCTCGGTATTGGACGATCCAGTAAGGATGAGGCGAAGCGTTTCCAGAATGTAGTACTGGGGTGGGAGAAGGCCAATTTTCCCATTCCTGTAGTCCTCTATTGCCGATTCTGGACGCAAAAATCGCGCTTGAATGACTTCTTGTCCACCATCAGGAGTCGGAAGGTGTTCTTGTCTACCTGAATGTAGCCCATCCGATGTAGAATCCTCAAGGAATGCGATAAAGAACTCTGTGCGGAATCGTCTGATTAGATGTTAGATACAGTTAAAGGACAAGGGACAAGGATCCTGTTTACCTGGCTGCTGCCGGTGGTGTCACCCATGTAGTAAACGGCAGCAAAGCGCCTAAGTCGGCTCTTAGGTTGTTGTTTGTAAGAAACGTCGAGAACGTCGTTTGTCCTCCATGGACATCTTTTCTAGCCTGAGTGAAGTCGATATCGAGTAATGTGCTCGGAGTATCCGACAAAGCCAGCAGTAGCCCCGCTTCTTCGAAAGTTTCTCTGATAGCAGTCCATTCTAAGGACGTATCCTGCTTGGCGTCAAAATTTCCGCCAGGAAAAACCTCCAATTCCAGATGCCTTTGAACGGGGACTACAGAAGAGTGATTCTGCTTACGTGTTGGCCAGCGAATGAATTAGCCTGTGGGTTGCGCTGAACAAGAAGTACTTCGTTGTGACTGTTGACCAGGACGAGACTTGCTGAAAGACGGGGCTCTGTAAGCTTTGGAGTTTCACTAGCACTGTTCGTCATCTTGGTTGAGGAGTTAGAGAAGAGACTCAGAGTCGTGACTGAGAAACTCCTCTGGGAAAGCGATACTTTACTGCCAGTATAATGTGTTCTGCTATGTATCCACACGTCGATAATTAATGTGAATCACAACAAGCCGCGGTGATAAACTCACTCTAGCAGTTGGTGACTGGGTGATCTGTGCTTGGACAGAAGTAGAGTGCAAGTCCTGAACATGACTCGTGTACATCTGGTCTAATTTGGCTCCGGTACCCGGTGTAGTTGTTCATTAGATCCGGTTGACTGGGACAAATACTTCCGCACTTTTAGACTTCGCCACAACCTAAGACTTCGTCCTTTGGCTGGCCTACCACCTGAGAGTACGTACGCGCTTCCGCAGGCCACGCGACATTTGACTCAAAATCGCGTTTATATCAACTTAGGCAGTGCAAATATGGCCACCGTGCTAGAGGTACGCTTGGTCTAAGCTAATATGATTGGTGGCACTTACTCGAATGCACAACTTGAAGGATGAAATAATTCCTGAAATGAAGATTCCACTCACCTTCAAATGGTCCGGACGCGAGTACAAGGTAGATCTCCTTGGATCAGATAGGTAAGCTGCGGAACCGAATTGCTGCGAACCATGGATTCTCAGTACTAACTCCGTCTAGAGTGTATGACCTCAAGACTTCGCTGATGAGTTTGACGAAGGTTCCACCAGAGAGGCAGAAAATTTTAGGTTTAGTAAAAGGAAAACTACCCCCAGATCAAGAGAGAATGTCAGTGTTTGCAATTTCTTGCACGATTTTTTCTCTGAACCACATGATTGTAGCGCAGATCTACGAATTGCAGGAAAATCATTTACACTTATAGGGACCCCTGAAGGTGACGAGATCAAAGACCCTTCAAGTGAGCCCGCGATCTTTCAAATCTTTGATGCCTGTACTAACATACAGTCAGAGTTGGAATTCCTTCCTGACGTTGTCAATGATCTTGATGTAGACTTCACTGACAACCCTGCTGCCGCTGCGACATATAAAAATGACCAGCGAAACATTCGCAAAGTCAAAGAGGCAACCGAGAAACTTCAGATTAATATCATTCATCCTTTGCGAGATGGAAAGCGTTTACTTGTGCTGGACATTGATTACAGTAAGCCAATCTTTCTCGAGTGTTTTTACTTCCCGAGAGTAAATCTCATGCAGCTATTTTGGACACCAAACCACTAACGTCTGGCTCATTGCCTCCTGCGGAATGTGCGAGGCCTGGCCTGCATGAATTTCTAGAGGCCATATACCCTTACTATGACATCTGCATCTGGTAAGATTCACTCACCTCGTGAACGCCACCTCTCACACCCAGCCAGGTCTCAAACTAGCTGGATATGGCTTGAGGCGAAGCTCGTAGAACTTGGCATGGTTGGATCTACCAGGAATTATCAGGTTTTATTTGTGCTTTCATAGTGGCAAGTTACGGCTGACATCAACTCCAGATTTCATTTGGTACGACCGTGACTATCCAACTTTAACACCCGCATAGCTGATTGAAGATGCGCAGTCCTCGACAAAACTTGCATGTTTACTGTCTTTACAGAACGAAACGGCCAACCATATGCACACCATGTCAAGGCACTGCAAATTATTTGGAATCACTTTCCCCAGTTGTCAGTACATTCTGATTTGGACAATCGAGCATGCTCCAACTTCCCTCTTTAGTTCGGCGAAGAACACTATTCACGTGGATGACCTGGTAAGAGGAAGGTGTAGCCTGTCTTTATCATCTTTAATGCTGTCGTAGAGTCGGAATTTTGCCTTGAATCCAAACGAAGGACTAAAAATCCATGCCTTCAAGAATGCTCATTCAGAGCAGGCTCAAGCTGACCGGGAGCTTCATAAATTATCCCGGTACATGGTACATATCGTCACTATAGAAGATTTCCGGACGTTGCGCCATAAGGCATGTGTCTCGTGTTTGTTGCTAGACTGTAAATTTGCTCACTGCACAGCATTTTCAAAGGCCTGGAAGCATGAGCTGAGGCGACTCACGCAATCGTAATGAAGACACACTCCGTCTTACGGTGCTCATTCATACCATGGTACTTTGATTGGTTAGGCCTACATAGTAGGGACAATTGTTGTGTTAGTGTACATGATCTTTGTAACATAGCTATTTTGTAACAAAACTGTGCTATATATGTACAACTTTTCGTAGTATCATACTTCCGTAATAACAAATTCTTCACCAGCCTGAGGTCTCATTTTAGTGAACTACCCTTCTGCACTGCAGTTCAAGGAATCATTTGCGGTGGCTTGGTACGTTATCACCGTGCTATGCGTGTCGTTTCATTCACGTGTACTTTTTCTTTCTAATTGTTAGGCTCAGCTTTACTCTCAGTACATGCTTGGAGTTGGTCTACGATGGGATCGACTTCGTTGGGCATATGAGTTCGATGTCGCGATGCGAACTAAGAGCGCATCTGACTTGAGCGGCCTCAGCCGAGAGGAAAAGAAGAAGGCCCAGTGCTCCTTTGAACCAGGCGAAATCGCTCACATCGATGGTGGCGGTGGAATCACGGCTGCCTTCTACGAATTCTTGGATCGTGACAACTTTCCACTGACACCAATAGAACGGCGATACATGCGCATTCTTAACGACAGCGCTCCCGATATTAGCAAATATTGCCTTGTCCTCCAACGTCTCAGCGCAGACACATTCATTGTGTGCTACATCGCGTCTTTCGGTGGTGTTGTATACGGCACCGGCCTGTCTCCAGTAACTCGGTTTTTTTCCATGGCTATGGGCGACACACCTCCGTGGCCTCCCAATTCAAGGCCTCTGCACGTTATCCCGAGATGGATCGGATCTGGCTTCATATTTGGTGTTCCCGTGGTCAGGAAAAATCTGTCGAAGACAACTCATTCCCGTGCTTCTCTTGCCCACGGAGAACTACATAGGGTAAGATCTTTTATTGCAGAAAGGCTCAAGGTATGTCCAGTTACCTATTCAGTTTGACGGTGTGGAATGAAGTATTTTCGCAGCTCTTCCAGCAGGCCCATAAAGAATTGCGTGCAAAAGAGCGCGATTGGCACAAAGTCCGCAAGAAAACTGGTCTCAAAATTGATAGCTATGTGGATCCCGTGATGTTGGACGTGGACCAACCAGGCAGGGTAGGCTCCAACCCTGCGATACCCAGTAAAGTGCCCGTCCCTAGCGACTTTACGGAATGTTCAAACTTCAAAAACATGCTTCGGATGAAGCGTGACATCAAAGGCAAGGTGAAATTAACCTTATTCGGCCTGAAGGATTGTGACACGAGTTTATTCCTAGTGCCTTTTCTCCACAAGCGTCGTTTCTTGGAAGTTCCTCCGAGCAATCACTTAGCCTGGTTACTGCAATGGCAACGACAAGATATTACGTCTTCACGACTCTACCTCAAGCGTCTCACGCCTCGACACTCATCTTATCCTGTGCTTCGACACCTTCCACTCCCCTTTCGGTATGTGAGACCTTGAGGACTGCATATTACTACGCTCTGCATTGAACAGACCCCCCGGGAGAGTTCACTCAGTCCAACTTAGTTAGTCAGGTTCACTTAATGTCAAGACTTTTCTTGATTCTACATACCTAGCAGATATTGGAGGAATATGGTAGTCCTAGAAGCCTCGTTCAGTCCCGCATTCGACTACACTGGGACGGTATCACTCTGGATGTACGGGAGCATACCGCGTCGTATGATTACATTGTGGAGGTTGACAAAAACATATATTGACATCAACATACTTCTGAGGTTGTAACACTGTTCACAACGAGATCGAACGTCATCACTGAGGACGGTAGTACTAAAGACATCCCTAAGTATGAATCTGTATAAACGGCTTTGTCACATACCAGGTTTCGTAGCAACGAGAGCAGGAAGAGAAGCATTAGAGGGTCGCAATATACCAGTGGTGGCGTCGAACTGCCAGTGGTTGTTGTTTGCAACTTCAGAAAAGAACAGCAGTTCAGCAAGAATAGTATGCGGTTGCCCATTGAGCTTACTGGCAAGTACCTCCTTTTGTCCCAGTCCAAGTAATTTCTGAGCTTCCGTAACATGGAGGCACGCGAATGCTCGCGAAACAAGCGTGAAGGTGTTCTTGCGGAACGCATCTAATGACAAATTCGATACAATGAAACTCTGGTTAAATGTGCACATACCAAGGAAGTCGTTAACCAGCAGACCAACAGTTTTTCCCAGCCTTGGATCTGGGAAGTCACTTTGCTGCGACATCTTGAACAGTTCTTGAGCCCGGGCGTAAGTATTTTCATACTTTCGTTCTAAAGCGGATGCTAAGAGTGCTGCGAGTGCATGTGACAGGGGATGCGAGGACACATTTTCAGGTAACCGTGCAAGGGCATGTTGAGCAGGTGTTCTAGAACAAGTGTCACAAAGGAGTACAGTCAGGGGAGGGGTCTTACATACAAGTCATCCAGCACCATATAAGACAGGACCAAGGGGGAAATCAAAAGCAGTCTGGAGTGACTTTTGTCATTTGAACCCTGATACAGGGCATTATCGAGATGCCGATATGTATATGAGGGGTATCTCAAGAGGTGCTCACATTTAAGTCATGATGTTCAGCGATATTAGTGATGCCAATGAAGTTCCTTTGCTCTGCCAGATCAGATAACTGGGGAAAAACTTGCTGGTATATATCTTGGACAGCGGAGAATTGTGGGGAAGGTTCCAGGCTGCCTGAGCTATTAGGTGATGTGGTGGGATCAGAGGATCCCGTCGAGGAAGCAATGATGGAATCTCGAGCTTCGTCACGAAGCTCTGTTGCGCTCATGGGAGGAGGTGTGGGTGGTGCTTGAGCCATATATTGAGAACTTAGCTTTAGCTGCAAGATTGTTGATATCTTAATGCTAATACTTATTCCGAACAACTTGGACTTGCTTACTAAGCAATCTGTAGTACTTACTACTGGCTGTGAAACGTACATAGTCTCCCGTACCGCCATTAGGCAGACCTAATAGAAGGAAGAAAGCTGTTCCTTCTGTAGTGTTACAAACATGGATGTACTCGACGAGGAGGTTGAATCAATCTTATATATTGCAAGAGAAATATCAGGTAGGTCCAAGTTGCGCGAACCTCACAAGCAAGTCTTTCATCAGCACACGTAGTCTACAAGATCCCCCATCTGAAGGTCAACGAGGGACATCGTGCTAACGACTGGGGAGATCTTGCACAACCGTTATGGAAAGGCAGACTGCGCATCGTCGAGAAGTCGAGTGGTGCGGCGCTGATGTTTGAAGATGCTCAGACGGGTAAGCATTGTCAGCTTCTCACCGTGTATAAGTAGATGGTTGACGCAACTACAGGGGAATGTACGTTCCAATATGAACAATCAATACTGTAGCCTTCTGATGCAGAGTTAGTATTTGCCCGCGCACCTTATGACGCTCTTAAACCATGCGTGGAATCTGTCCTTGATTCATCCCGATATTTTGTAATCAGGGTAGAGGATACTGGCAAGAAGGCTTATATTGGGATGGGATTCGCTGAACGAACAGATAGCTTTGATTTCAGTGAGCGCTCTTTTTGTGGTCTGCTTGCTATCTTAACATATTCCCTTAGACGTTGCATTGCAAGATTACACTAAGTGCGTCTAACAAACGCTGAAATTTCTCCCACTCACTTACAGCACGCCCATTTCTAGGCGTTTCAAAGTTGCTTTGAACCCTCCTAGCCCCGATGATGAAACTCCTTCTCATGTTCCTGTAGGTCCAAAGAAGGACTACTCTTTGAAGGAAGGCCAAACGTTTTCCATATCTATTCCGGGAAAAGCTAGTAAATTATCAACACCCGGGACCAGTTTGCTAGGTTCCTCCACCCAAAGTACTGGTAACTCAGGGGGAGGGGTACCGCTATTACCTCCCCCACCTTCGTCGGGAAGGAAGAAATGATCATGTTATTTAAATACCGAAGTATTTTGGCATTTTTTTTGTATCCTCTGTTTTCCATGAAGACTCAATTCAACAAGATACCAAAATCATACACGCTCAAAATAAGTGTTCAGATCTACAGATTTTTGGGGGAAGTCTCTGAATTTTGTTAGTCTTATACTCATCTACAACATGCGTGCTTGTCACAACAGCTAATGACACGTGGGACGTGATTGAACTGTATCCTTTCCTAACCTGCTGCTCACTTTCGGGTCTCGTCGTTAATGGAACCATGTCACGCAATCAAAAGGTTTTGGCTATGAACCCCAGCAATACTTGAGCTAATTTTTGAATAGTAACACTCTCAGAAGGATATAGACAGAGACAATCATCTTGCAGCTGGGCAACCAATTATGTAGTTTCTTAAGAATAGTCTATTCAAGCTAGTTTTTCTGGAGAAGATTCACCCGCATCTCATCCAAGTGAAAGTGTCGCCTCTAGTGGGTTTAATGTCATTCCCATCGGGAGCATCGTGAATGTCACTGGCAGTGCCAGCAGTGGTAGAGAAGATCCATGTTAGCCAGTTGATGGGGAATGCGAACGGTCGCCCGGTGACAGTGTGAAATGGCCATATGCACATTTCAAAGATAAGAATTGAATATTGAGCCATGGGATGGCAGACGCAGATCGCTTGCAAAGACGTGGGATTGTGGTATGAATCCAACAATGGAACTTGAAAAGATGCTCAGTACGAATTACATAGGCTGCGAGAACTGATGACCTAGTGGAGTATGAGCGACGGCCATTATGCGGTCACCGGCCGAGAAGTGCACGTCTAACTGTGTCAAGCCGTGTCACCACGATGATTGTGTCGTTTAGGGCGCCGGTCCGACGATCCCACTGGTGAGCGCATGTCTCGGATATTGTATAGATAGAACATGAGACATAGCCTAATTGTTAGATTGCCTCGTAATAGGCCGAATCTGTAGACAAACGTTGGTCCGTAATGATGGCTCCATTTGATGGCATCGTCTTGAAAGTTTCGATATAAGCGACTTGGTAGCTTGTTGCCAATTGCAAGTCACCGACTCACCGTGCGGTGGTGTTAAAACTTTAAAAAAACTTTATGTAACTCACTCACACTGAGATCAGGCTCCGTATTATGTAAGGAATTCTTGCACGTGACCTCATTAGGCTTGCTGACAATTCGATTCATGTGCTCGCTTGGTCTTCGCCTTTCACAACAGCGAACATTGCGACTAGTTCCTTGTTGGCTTCTTGTCCTCCTTCCTATTCAGGTTCTCCTATCTGATTGACGACAGAAGTTTGCACTCAGGATGTTGTCCAGAGTCACCCCCAATGTAATAGGAAAAGCTACATTCAGAAACTCCATAGGACGGGCTGCTCTCTGCGCTCGCAGAGGTTTCGTGCAACCCTCTGGTGCAGACCGTGCACGCATCGTCGAAGACATACATTTCAAGCTCGAGGTTCCCAATCGTGATAACAGCGTGACACAAAAGACTCGCCCTATATACCTCGATATGCAGGTATGGCCATGCAATTAGATACTATTCGGTGTATTGACAAGGTCCAGGCCACCACTCCAGTAGACCCGCGTGTTCTCGATGCTATGCTACCGTACCTAACAGACCAGTACGGTAATCCACATAGTCGAACTCATGCATATGGATGGGAAGCAGAGCAGGCTATTGAGGTTGCACGCAAGGTAAGTCTGCTGGGTTTACGTGCGTAAAAACGTCCCTGTAACATCTTCCAGCATGTAGCGGACCTCGTTGGAGCCGAGGCCAAGGACATCGTCTTCACTTCTGGTGCTACCGAGACCAACAACATGGCCATTAAGGGTGTCGCACGGTTCAATAAAGACAAGAAAAGACACGTTATCACGACACAAACGGTGGGCTGAGCCGCTTGGTTCTATGATCAACGCTGATCGTCACTGCAGGAGCACAAGTGTGTCCTGGATTCTTGCAGGAAAATCAGCGAAGAAGGCTTTGAAATAACCTATCTTCCTGTCGAATCTAATGGCGTAGTCAACCTCGAGACTCTTGAGGCCGCCATCCGCCCCGACACTTCCCTCGTTTCTATCATGACAGTAAACAACGAGACCGGTGTCATCCAGCCAATGAAGGAAATTGGTGCCATTGTGCGAAAGCATCGTGGCGTACACCTTCACACCGACGCGGCGCAAGCCGTGGGAAAAATACCTATCGATGTTAATGAAGCCAACATTGACCTGATGAGCATCTCAGGGCATAAAATCTATGGTCCAAAGGGAGTAGGAGCTGCTTATGTCCGCCGGCGACCACGCGTGCGATTGGAACCGATCTTGAGTGGAGGAGGACAAGAGCGTGGGCTGCGTAGCGGTACCCTGCCCACAGCGCTGGCGGTTGGCATGGGCGAAGCAGCACGCATAGCCAAGCTAGAGATGGCAGTGAGTATCTTGTTCTTCGCATAACCCATGATGAAATCCGCACATGCGTTTGAAGTGGCACTTGAATCAAGTGGCGTGATGCTCTAGGCTTACGGCCGTATGAGCCGCTAGCTTGGTGATGATTCCTGTGCAGGGGTACTGATCAAGTTCTTGTCTATCATTCCACCTCTCGTTCCGAATCTGATACATATTCCAGAGGGATCACGCACGGATCAAGCAGTTGTCGGATAGGTTAATCCAGGGCATCAATTCCCAAGTTGAGCATGTGGTTCGAAATGGTGATGTCAATGGATACCCGGGATGTGTAAACCTTTCGTTTTCGTATGTTGAAGGCGAAAGTCTTCTCATGGCCTTGAAGGTAAGCGTAGTGGCACATATCTGATGAGAGAAATTATCATGGTGTTCGTCGCAGGATATCGCTTTGTCTTCTGGTAGTGCTTGTACATCCGCGTCTCTAGAACCTTCATACGTTCTTCGTGCTCTTGGTATGTTTTTTTTTCATGCGTGGACTTGTAGTACCTGACAGTCACCTAGGAGCGGCAGAAGATATGGCACATTCGTCCTTACGCTTTGGCATCGGTCGTTTCACCACGGAAGCGGAAATTGATTTCGTGATAAATCACATCGTTCGCGTCGTTACCAGACTTCGTGATATGAGGTACGATCTCACCCACATTTCAGTGCTTTTGCTGTGCTGATCGTCTCCTTCAGCCCGTTGTGGGAGATGGTGCAGGAGGGCATCGACATCAACTCAATTAACTGGTCTCAACATTAATTTATACTTCTGGATCTGTTATCGCGGCGCAACGTTTTTCTTTACCTGTCGTTGACGTATTTGAGGATTATTTGCCTATAACTTTATGTACAACGATATGAAGAACTTTCTAAGGATATTATTGGCGGTATCCGAGGTCTTGTCAACGGTGCTAATTCTTGGCAAAAACCGAATATAATGGCGAGTTGAATCTCCGCCATAACTGTACTCTTTCACTTTCAACCACCATGGCAAGACGCTTGTACCTTGGCAGTATGAAATTTTCTTCTTGTCAGATCTTGACATAAACAATTCTAATCATCGTTTGCATCGCACAGGACTTCCCCCTGATGCCCGTTCTGATGACGTGGCTAAGTTTTTCGATGGCTATGGCCGTATCATTGACTGTCGTGTCATGACCGGTTCGTCGGACAAGAGGCGCGCGGCAAATGCGGAACTCACTGGACCTCCATCAGGATTCGGTTTTGTCGAGTTTGAAAGCTCAAAGGTGGATCCACCATGTATCACGGTGATCAGTATACCAAACTTTTATAGGATGCGGAGGACGCTGTACATCATTTCAACGGCAAGCCATTCATGGGAGCCAAGTTCGTATCTTAATCAACCCCAACATCGCTTGCATCGATCCTTATTTTTCTTGTTTTAGCATTGTCGTCGAATTCGCCAAAGAAAGTCGCCCCCGTCGGGATGTCTATGAGAGCGACCGTGGCTACGGGTATATTTTTTGACTCACCAAGTTAATACTGTGCCTTTTTCCTAACAAGTTACATTTTTGTTTAGGGCTGCTCGTTCCCGCAGGCCTCCAGGTATCCGCCTGATCGTTTCCGGTATTTCTCGTGACACAAGCTGGCAGGTATGATGTTCTTTCGGTTCGCAACATTGGCAGTGTTTGCGGAGCATATGGCGCTTCTGTATTCTGGAGATCGATCCGTCTGGTCATTTTGGAACCTGGAAGGACCACCAGTATTTCGTTGATGTTCACTTTCGCCGGCTTTGTCCAAACCCAACGTCGAACCTGACCATACACTCACCCAGGACTTGAAAGATTTCGGACGCGAGGCGGGTAGCGTGTCGTTCGCTGACATTGATCGTGACAACCCTGGCCAGGGGTGGGTGACTCAAATTTAATGTTTTGTCCTGGGCTGACAGTCTCTCAGTATCCTTGAGTATCTATCGCGAGATGACGCAGACCGTGCCGTCAAGGATTTGGACGGTAAAGACCTGCGCGGTAGACCTGTCCGCGTTGCCTACGATGATGCCGTGAGTTTGATGGCTTGGTTGTTTTGCGCCGTGCCTTACCTGTTCTCTCAGCGCGGTGGACCTGATAACTACAGGCGCGAGGATCGTCGTGAGGAACGTCCTCGAGGTGACGACCGATACAAAGAAGAACGTTACTACAGGGATGATCGTGCATCTTATCGCCGCGAGCGATCTCGCTCGCCTCCTCGTCGCAATGATCATGACGATCGTCGCCCCAGGTCTCCACCTCCGCCGCGGAGGGATCTTGATGAGAGAAAACCTGCAGGGTACGATGATTACCGACGGGGAGGTTATGATGATGACCGCAGAGCCCCTGATTATTATTATGACCGCCGCAGGGACGATGACCGGCGACGTGAAGACCGCGGTGGCAGACGCGACGAAAAAGACGATCGGTACGACGACAGGGCGATGAGGCACGCAAATGGCGATGGTGGATGGGCGCGTTAAAGGATATAGGCAGCCGCTGGATATTTTGCACTTGGCCGAGGGGCACCGCATCCGTTATTGGTTTTCCACTCTCTTATGATGGTCATGGTCTCCTCGAGCTTGGCGTTGGCGTATGTTGGGTCGAACCGGAGAACTGTTTTTTTTGTCTTACAGAGGTCATTTCCCTCTTGGTCCGTATGTCGAACGATTAGGTGAAGGCGTCCCGAATTTGGCGTGGAACCTGTACTTTCAAGCATCAGCTGAAGGATTGGCTGAAGGATGTCCAAGGCAGCGCGTGAGAATTTAACGTGGGCGTCATCTTTCGTATTGGTGGCGTTGAACCACGGAAACTTGGAAACGGTAACGGAATTAAAAAAAGACTCGGTGTGCCTACTACCCTCGGTACCTAGGACCGTCTATCCTGAATTTGCCCACCAATGTGATTGTGTCCTTCATTTGTGACACTTCAGCGCACGATGATTGACGTCTTGCATATGGCAGACTTTCGTCTTCAGGTGTGTCACTTTACTCACATCTATCCCTAGGGACATCTATGTATAAATATAAGTGTAATCAAGATTCAGTTTGCCGCGATATGTGTACGACAATATGTGAATTATTCTCTATTCCCCACCATCCTAATTCTTGATCATCGTTTTGAAGAAGAGCTAGTGTGTCATCACCCATTCTCAACCATACATAAATATTATGGCGGTTCCTTGGATTTTTCCCTGCTCCCAGAGCTTTCATCAATCTGAGCCGGAAAAGCCCTAATTTCATCGTAGAAAGCACGCGCAGTGAAGTAGATACGATGAGACCCCCTTGCATTCCCGGGGTGAAGAGGCCTTCAGGAGGCTCAGAGCATTGGTGAACTTTCACCTCTGTGGGTATAGTTCAACAGGCGGTGACGCGATCATCCAACAAAGGCCTACCGATCAAATACCGACCGAGTCTACCGTCGCGATCAGCTGTTGACTCGGCAGGTCTTCCGTGTTCTGTGGTACATAGCAAAAGGCTTGATGAATACAATAATGACTCAGCAGAGCCAAGACACTGACTCATGCACAGCGTCTTCCACTGCGGGTGTTCCTTCAGTTTGTCTTCATCATGCCCAGGCACGGTCTTCGCAACGAAAGAAAGATAAAACAATTCACTATCTGATCGCTCCTTCGTCGAGATCTTGATGACAGAGGAAATTAAAGTCTAGGCACCGCAGCTTCGGTCTTGTACTCACCGCAGTTGCGTCAAGGACCCGTAAGGACGGGATCTTTGCTATGACTTGCTGCCTGGCAGAACGAGAGACGTCACTAACTGCAAACTATGAGTATGTGTTTCCTCAAAGAAGACAATAATCTTGCGCTAACCCTCAGACAGTGGATTTTTGGCAAGGCTCAACGTTTCGAGATTGGGACACCACTCATATAATTGGTCAATATCACGCGAATTATGGAGTTTGTTACTGGAAAGAGAGAGGACTTTGAGTCCTTGTAAATGTGACAGATGAGATTCCCGAGGAGGAATCCTTTCAATGCCATTAGATGAAAGCATGAGTCGTTGTAATCTGCGGTACCGCATTAGCTTGTTGGAAACCCCGCAAACACTAAACATACGAGGCACACGGCTTCATCGCTTCGCTGATATATTGCCAATCCTCTAGCTTGTTACTATCGAAATTGAGGATCTCGATATGGCCCAGCACTGTAGAGATCTTCGCATGTGATAGGGAAATAAGCCCATTGTATCCAAGTTCCACCATGCGAAGTTGAGGCATGAGTATCGCTATGCTTGTAAATTCTTCCCATGAAATCCAGGTGCCGTTCAGCTGGAGCTCTGAGAGTCGCAGCCAAGCCGATGCAGGCAAGTGAGATGACGGCGGCGTCAGCCGGTTGCGACTATTTGTAGCGTTAGTATATCAAAATAGGAAAACACAAGGCCTACTTGAGCGCTAGCCGCTCGAGTTGATGCAGTTCGGTGGTTATCATCGCCACAACGTCCCAACTGGACACAAGTGTTGCAGAAAGATCCAGGCCGCGGACGTCTTGATCGTATCAATCGCATGATATTTGAAGAGATGCGCACTAGCTTACTGGGGCATGTTGACAGGATTTCCCCTGGGTTATTCCCGGTAGAAACCATCTCATTGTCGAGACTGACTTCGCGCAGTCGCTCCAGATTTGAAAATTTGCCTCGGATCTTGTCCAAGTCTACAGCCTCGACCTCTATAGCACCATTTGAAGAGCCCAAAACAATCTTCTCCTGGGACGCAGTGCCATGCACAGCTTCTACATACTTATTTTTCAATGCTTGCAAAAATGGATACCCATAGCAAACGGAAGAAGGGCGAATGAAGGATCCGCTGTGAGGCACTCTTGTGGTCGCTGAGCGATAAGCATCGTCGTGATTTCCTTGATCTTACCGGCAGTTAAAATATCGTTTCCCATCTTTCATGCCATCGTGTTTGCCACGAGTTGAGTCGTCCCATTCGACACCAAGCCAAAGACCAGCGGTGCCATCGATTGGTCCAAAGTACTTGACAGTGCCGAAATAACCTGATGGAAGGTATATTCTTGACCCTATCGCAGCAAGCACATGATACATCGGTCAAAGTGGTCCGATGGTGGAAAGTGCTTCCGAGTCACATCATACAGCAGCCTACAGCTTGAACGATTGTGTTAATCTCACGTAAGCATCGCCTTGGGTTCAGTCTGCCACTCTTCGGCTACACGGTACTCCGAAAATCCCAGAAAAGTCGTGGGTCGCAGGCTCTCCAAGGGTTTCCTTTAGTTGAACACTTGGTTAGTTCTGAGTATGCTGGCTACTGCTCTCACAAGAATGTCGCGTAACGGTGTATCAGCAGCTCTTGCCAGGACAAGTGCAGTGGTTGCTCACATGTCCACCAGCACCCAGGCAACACCACTAGAGCAGGTAAGTTCTTTGCATATGTTATTCTTACCAATCCCTTGTGAACCGGGCCTCGCATGCAGCCGGTGCTCTTTGAGTCGAATGGAGCGACACGCACTTATGTTTTGAACCGAGCAAGCAAACTGAACGCTCTCAATGGTGACATGCTCAAGTTGATGAGACCTCAACTAGAGGTGAGAATGCCATTACGTGGAAGTGCAGGCTCTTACAAATGTCATTTGTATTGTATTCCAGCAATGGTCAAAATCCGACCTGTGCAAGATTGTCGTCGGGACGGGTATTGGCCGTGCATTTTGCGCAGGCGGTGATATTGCAAGTGTGTTTCAGTGCTCAAATCCATGTGGACACTTGCTGACAACTTCGCACAGCTGTACTACAGCATTCACTGCATGACACTACTCGTTCAAAGGCTATAGAATTCTTCAAAGACGAGTGAGTCATAGAATGATGCTCCGAAGCGCTTGAATAACTTATCCTACAGATTTGAAATGAACTATATCTTGTCTGCGTTACCAAAGCCATACGTAACCATCTTGGACGGTATCACAAGTTGGTGCTTTCCTCTGTACAGCATGCATAGCACTGACATCAGCAGTGGGCGGGGGGGTCGGACTTGCCATCAGCGCTCCTTTTCGTGTTGCAACGGAGAAGACAAAATTCGCTATGCCAGAAACTAAGATAGGTTACTGCCCTGATGTTGGAGCAAGCTTCTTCTTGTCCAGGATCGACGGTGAAATTGGCACATATCTCGCCCTTACCTCAGAAACTCTTGTTGGCAGGGAAGTCTTGTGAGTGGTGACATATCTTTTCTCGGTAGGGCCGCGGGCTTACGATTTCGGTAGTGAATTAGGATTTGCTACCCACTTTGTGTCATCAAGGACAGTGCCCAACTTATTGACTCATCTATCTGATTTGGAGGACCCCACCTCCGCTATGATCGATAGGACCATCGAAGGTCATCATACAAAACGGCTTCAAGACGAACCGGTTGGAAGATTAACGGGTCGCACGCGCCAAGCTCTTGATACGGCATTTCGACATGATACAGTTGAGGAGATTATGGAGGATCTCACTAAGTTAGCCTCGACTTCGGATGACTCAGTCGCTAAGTGGGCCTCGGAAACACTGGAAACATTACATATCCGGAGTCCTACTAGTCTCAAAGTGGCACTAGAGGCGGTCCGACGCGGGAAGGAAATGACGCTCCTCCAGGCCCTTCAAATGGAAATGGGTATTGCCACTGCTTACTGTGTAAGTCAATTGGTGATTATGCTATGTGATCTGTTTGACTTTGAAAATGCAGAGCGGCGCGAGTCCAGATTTCACTACAGGAGTAACCGCGGTCCTGGTTGACAAAACGAAAGTTCGCCCTACTTGGTCTCCTGATCAAGTCAACAACGTCTCAGATGCGATAGTGAAGCGATTTTTTGAGGAAGATTCTGATTATCTCCGCGCCGTGCCTACTTTGACACCGCCAGACTTTCTTACGAATGGCAAGCAAAATCCGATGAAATTCGCTCTGCCAAATGAAGATGCCATCTTACAAATCGTGTCGAATGCCGGAAAAGATCCTATCTCCCTTTCTGACCTACTGGCACATTTTGATAATATTTACTCGGGTAAGCAAGGTGTTGCAGAGAAAGTGGTTGAAGTAGTGAAACGTCGTTGTGATGTCATTGGTAATGAAGGTTCGGAGGTGATTAACTGGAAAGAGCAATTGTAATAGTTGCGGCACAGTATACCATCCCTCGATATCACAATTTGCTTATCATGCTGTATGTTTTCGCACGCGCGCAGTTATCACCACGTCGCGCGCAACCCGGCGGACCGGAATTGCAGCTAAGACTTTCAAGGGCGATGACTGTTTGAACCTTGTACTCCATCCCTAAGGAGAAAAGTGTGCGGTCAACATTGATGTTTGACGTTGCGCGACGCGCAGCTTTTTATTATGCCGCACGGCCACTACACTAACTCGAACCCAAGTTGCCCAAAATTATGATGAAACGATCCGAGATTGAATATACTGGGCATACGTGTTCAATGTCGCACGATATGATAGCTGCGAGACTCCACAGGACAGCTAAGTGAAAAAATATCTCAAGATTATTTTCAGGTCCTTCGAAATTTCCTGTGCATTGTTGTGACTCGAAATACGCTTCCGAGGATTGCTTGGGACTGTCCCCAACGAACAAGTAATAATGCCAGCGTTCACACAGCAAGTTCTCTCT